AGACTGCCCGTCCTCCCAGAGGATGCTGACTGAGCTGCTTTAGGCACATCACTGACGAGGGAGAGTGTGATAATGGCAGGGGCCTCTTGGAAGCGCTTGACATATATTGCCCTAAAGTTTGGGGCATTAGAAACTGGAACTTGCCTCTTCTCTGGAGAATTTCGAAGCAGCCTTTAATAGCGTAGCAAAGAAGTGCAAGGATAGTGGTTATCTTGGACCCCTGGTTCTCTACCAGAGGTGACTTGCTCCCTAGGGCACATTTGGCAGTACTGGAAGACATTTTTTACTGTCACAAGTAGGGGGCAGGAGATACAACTAGCATCTAGTACATAGAGGATGTTATACACCCTACAATGCACAGGACAGCACCCCACTTCCCAACAAAGACTTATCTGGTCCAAAATGTTACTGGTGTTCAAGTTGAGAAATCCTGACTCAGACCAAATGACGTCTTGAAAGGTCTCCACTCAAAGTGGTTGTTGGCCAGAACGGGGGAAACTGGAGGTAAACAGTTTAAAGCGATAATGAGTGTTTGTAAGAGGTCAGCTGGAGAGAGCGAGGGAATTGTGCAATGTGGGTGCTCCAGTTGGGGGAACTCTGAGGATCCTAGCAATGTCTGCCATAGGTAACTGCCCTGACATTTAAGGGCATTTAAGAGCCAAGAGAGAATTGAAAGTAACACCAGCTGAGGTGTTTTTTAAAGGCTTTTCCTCATTTATTTTCTACCTCAACCTTCTAGTCATGAGGAGCTTGACTCAGGTTGGGACTAGGGTGGGATGGGAGTGGGAATGTAGTTGAGCAGAGAATATGAACGAACAAGACTGTGCAACCTTTGAAAAGACTTTCCTTGTTCAGCTACAGCAGCAACAGAAACAAAACTCAAAGTAACATATCAGTGGATTACCATGTCAGGTAAAAGGGTTTTGCTTCCCTTTTCTTTTTTGTTTAAAAATTTTTTTTCTGTATTGATTTTTAGAGAGAGAAGAAGGAAGAGGGAGAGAGAGATAGAAACATCGATGAGAGAGAACATCGATTGGCCGCCTCCTGCACGCCCCCACAGGGGATTGGAATTGAACCGGCGACCTCTTGGTGCCTGGGTCGACACTCAACCACTGAGCCACACTGGTCGGGCTGCTTCCCTTTTCCAAGGGGAGAAAATAAGGATACTGTTCTGTAGAGGAACGTTTCTGTACCTATGCTGAGCCTGCTTTGCTTTTCCTCATTGTCTAAGATGAGCCATTGCACATGGAACTTGGATGTTCTCATGCACAGCTCTCCACTTTTGTCCCTGGGCCCGGTGCCTTCTGTGCACGTCTCTTGGTGTCAAAGCTCTGTCCTCCCTAAAAACGCTGACAGAGCAGCATCTTCACCACGCCACTCTCCCCTGGTCCCACTGCTGTAGAGTCTTAGTAGCCCTTTGTCTATTTCATTTCCTGGGACAGAATCCACTTCCACATACTTTACATAGAACTTTTACATATCTGTCTTCTACCCCCATTAAGTATAATCTTGGTAAGTGATGGATGGATGTCCAGTAGACCATAGTACTTCCTACTATGTACATCACTTGTACGTAACAGACACTCTCAAAAAATACCTTAATGCTTGGTCAGCAACAGTACAACATAGCAAAACATTTTGTGAATTGAACAATATTCTATGGCCAATGTATTTAGATGATAGGTTTTAATTCCAGTACCTTCAAAAAATAAAATTATAATTTTCTCTCTAAAGGCAGCTCTCAGCAGAAGCAGAACTCTTCTCTCAAGTGATGTCCATGTGGAAAAACATAATGTTAAAAATACAAAACAAACTGGATGCTTTGCAAATAGCCACCTCTGCCGAAGTTCTTGAAATTCTAAAAGACTGCAACGTATCTCTTGAACATATAAAGAAACGTCTTGAGGTAAAACTACAGAAGTCCTGAAGTGGAGAACCACTTAACCCACAAAGTGTAATGTAATACACCGCAGAAACCAATTCCAACGTGGCTGTCAACGGCTTTGCTGTAGCTGCCGACACTATTCCCAACTCTCACCATCTACAGGGTTAATGCAAATACTGTTGAAAGGGAGAAGAAGTACATGGACCAATCTAAATGTCCTTCGGCAAAGCGTGAATTTTTAAGTGCTAACCCAGCTTTCCTTATCTGTGATCGGGGTGCCTGGCAGAGCCTCCCGAGAGGGGCTTTGTGCTGAGTGAGATAATGCGTTTACCGCACAAAGCTCTCAGTGAGCGTTACTTATAGTAGTGCTACTGTTACTAAGTCTTAAAATCGGCAAAAGTGAGAACTGATTATTTTGATGATTTTATAAATTATTGATTCCATAAATATTTATGTTGCCAGAACATTAAGTTGTCAGCAGTACGTATATATCTTTAAATACTGGGTGTTAATATTTGAGATTTGGGCTAAACATAGTCACTTCGCTTTATAAACCAAGGTATATCAGCGTTCATCTCTTTCCACAAGTCATTGCTGGTGATGACGCCCCCGGAAGGGTCAGCACGTGACAGTCACACTGGGAAGCTCTCTGCCAGGAAGACCCTATGCTGTATAAACCCACGGTGGCCCGGTTAACAATAACCAGTTTACCCAGTGATCATTAAGATAAGCTTTCTAATTGTTTCTGGCATATCTGTGGACTCTTACTAAGCATCATCACCAACCAGTAATCGTCCATCCATTCATGTACTAAGCACACACTTTATACTAGGCACTGCTTCTAGATTCTGGGACTATAAAGATAAAAGACATACTCCTTATGATTACGGGACTCGAAATCTATTACAGGCAACAAAAATGGTAAAGATACATTACAGTGTAATGTATGATAGGTATGACCATATTAAATAGAAATTCAGCCTGGAGAAGTGACAGTTGACCTGGGCACTGACAGACGCGTATGGATGTGGGTGGCTGGGTGGGAACAGGCCAGAGCGACAGCACAGATGTGAAGCTGTCAGCAAGTCAGGCACGTTCTGGGGTCACAATAGAGATGGTGCAGATGGAACATAGGTTTCAAATTAGAAAGTATTGAAAGATGGGATTCTCTAGGGAAGCAGGAGACAAAGGATGAAGGGCCTTGACCATCAAAGTGAATTTTGACTTTATGGAGTAGCCTCTGAAGGATTTTAAGCAGGAGAGTGAAATGATTTGATTTAAAAATATCTGCCAGTAAGAAAGCATGGAGTTTACGTAGATGGGCAGCGCGAACGCACACCAAGAAACCAGTTGAAAGACTAGGAATATTGGGCACTAAAGTAAGGCTGTGGTGAGGATGTCAGAAGGGGGTGCCTGGGGCTTCAGGTCCGTAGGTAGAAAGTTCCAGGATTGTGCCTGGATTTCTGGCTTGGCCAACAAAGTAGAGGAGGATCACACTACAGAAAGAGGGGGCTTATATGGAAAGAAGTAATTTTTATACATATTGAAAATAAAGTACTTAACGGGGCAGTCAGGTGAACATAGTCGATCAGCAGTTGGGTATATAGATCTGCTCAGAGGGAAGTGATCTGAGCTGAGGAGCAGGTGGGTATGTACCAAAACAGCTCAAGAAACGTGTAATGGGAGGAAGAATGATGGGAATGGAACTTAAGAGATGTCAACATGAAGGTGTAGGGAATGGAGCCCTGGCCGGTTTGGTTCAGCGGTTAGAGCATTGGCCTGCGGTCCAGAGAGACCCGGGTTCGGTTCCCGCTAAGGGCACGTACCTTGATTGCAGTTTGTCCCCGGCCCTGGTTGGTCGTGTGGGTGGCAGCCACTCAATGTGTCCCTTTCACGTCAACGTTTCTCTCTCTCTTCCTCTTTCTCCTTCCCACTCTATCTGAACAAAAAATGGAAAAATGTTCTCAGATGAGGATAAAAAAATAAAAATAAAGAAAGTGTAGGGAATGGAGAGGGATGTTGGAGGCAAATGATAAGAAGTGGCTGAGGGGTGAAGAACGGCCGTGCATTCCAGAAGTCAAAATGAAGGACAGAGCCAACAGAGTCAAATGCTATGGAAATGTCCTATAACATGAGAGCAAAAAGCTCCCGGTGAATCTGGTGATGGGAAGGGAGGTGTCGGAGGGCAGAGCTGAGGATGACTGAGAGAGGAGTAAGTGAAGAGTTTGAGTTTATAGATTCCAAGTACTTTGTGGAGATGAGGTGGACAAATAGACAGTAGAGAGAGTTTCTTATATTTTTAAAATGTATTTATTTTTAATTCTCACCCGTGGATAATTTTACATTTATCTTCAGACAGAGTGGGAGGGAGGGAGAGAGAAACATCGATGTGAGAGAGAGACATCAACTGGTTGCCTCACGCATGACCCCGGGGGCCGGGGACGAACTGCAGCTGAGGTTCGTGCCCTTGGCTGGAATCGAACCTGGGGCTCTTTGGTTCTCTGGCCGAGGCTCTAACCGCTGGGCCAAACTGGCCAAGGCAAGTTTCTTATATTTTTTAATGAGAGAACTCTAAAAGAAAAGCCTGTTGCAAAGGAGAGATTAAAGATACAGGAAAATAATAAATAAAACAAGAATAGCATAGTCTGGCAGATGTGAATGGGTGTATCTTCTTCTGAAAAGAAGGAAAAGAGTTAAAATTAGGGTGAATACAGCTAAGTTGTGGGGAAGGGTGGAAACACAGACGAAAACTGGACGGAAGGTGAGGTGACCTGGAATGACACCTTACTCTCTAAGAGGACAGGGAACTAAGCAGAAATAGGAGCAGCCAGAGCTTTATTGATGATCAGTAGTACATGGTGTGTGTGGCTGTGGCTGTGTGCACATGTGTGTGTAAGGGTGGCATTTTTTTTTGGTGTTTTCATTTGTTTTAGTTTTGCTTTTAGCAATTTAAGTATAGCTTTCATGGAGCACAGGATGCTATTTTGACTGGTGCTACTGTCGATACTGCAATTTTAACATTGTGGCTTTTGTGTGTCAACGGAGGCCCAAATGACAATGTGATTCATATCATGATTAAACGCATTCTGAATTGCCCTTCTTTTGGTTCTCACAGGAGTACATGGAAATTAAAAGAGTGATTTTCCCAAGATTTTACTTTCTCAGCAATGCGGAACTTCTTGCTATTCTAGCTGAGAGCGAGAATCCTGACTCTGTGCAGGTAAGACCCCTGTTCTCTGCTCAGCTGTACTGTTTCCCAACCATGTCGGAATTTCATAGTGTTGCTGACACTTGTTTCTGGTCCACAGCCTCATCTTGTGAAGTGTTTTGAAAATATAAAACGGTTGTTGATATGGAAACAAACCGTTGGCCCGCCTACTGTGACCATGCTCATATCTGATGAAGGAGAAACCCTTGTGCTGCCCAAGTATGATATTTACGTTACAAACTGAGCACTTAGACTCCGTAAGACTTGACTTAGGACCTCTGCTTGGAAATTCCTGATATGTCATCAAAGTTTGCTAAGCAAACTGTGTCTTCAAAGATAATATACTGACATGGAATTTTACCTTTCCATGTCTGTATTGATTAACATTATCCTGAAAGCCAACAAAAGATTCTGTTATTTGAACATAGGAGGGAAGTTTGCTTGGGGTTATTGGTGCTGTTCCCACTGATGCTTGTACGTTCTTGGCTTTGTCATGAATGGTTCCCAGGCTGTTCTGATAAGCTGGGTCCTTGTGTTACACTGGTCCAGGTGCCAACCATGCCAAGGGCTCACGAACTTTGGCATGTGGCTCCTGGTGTGCGTGATTTAAAAAATGCTGTGCCCAAGTCTTGCCATCCACCAAAACCCCTAACTGGCCCCTGATCTAGGCATACTGTTTAAAAGATCCAATGAGGAATCCAAAAATACTTTGTAGTATCATCTATTTGTAAATTCATATTTAATGGAAATCTTTCTTTTGTAAACTCATGGTTTTGATGTCAGAATTTTCTAAAGTGATGTTTTTTTTTTTCAAATTAAGATCTAGAAAAAACAAAAGATATTATGGAATTAGAATCATTTTGCCTGTGAATATTATAAGTGTGGAAAACTTAGTCTACATGCTTATCAAAGGAACGAATTAGGAATACAGATAATTCTTCACGTTATTATTATTTTTTTAATTAGGAAAATTCGTGTAAGAAGTGCTGTGGAACAGTGGCTGATAAATGTAGAGAAAAGCATGTTTGATGTGCTAAAAAAGTAAGTAAAATGGTCAGATCCTAAAATGATTCTATATTCAAATTTGGTTAATTGTCTCCTAATCTGGGGTGGGAACTATATACAGAGAAATGCATGGAGTAAAATCCTGTCATGTCATGTTTTGATAGAACATGATGGCAAAATAACCATTCTGACAGTGTAAATGTCAGGTTGAGGGTGTAATCATGGACAGCATTCAGTCTTTTTCATACTCTAAGATTCTTAAGTATCTGAAAACTCGCCAGATTGCCCGCTGTCCTAGACCGGGTGCCCAGGAGCCCCCAGGGGCTCCCCTTCGCTGCCCGGCCTTTCTGTCCCAACTCTGCTTCCTGCCATCATGTACTTGGTTTAGTCTTTTAAATTTTCTCCTTTTTGTAGTTGAACCTATACATTTCAATCTGCTTAGAGTAAGGAAAGAGCCTCAGAGTGTGAACATTTAAATTGGACTGGAACAGCCTTTGACATTTCTAATTCATTACTGTTGGTTATGGAAAAGCTATTGGTCCTGAAGTTTTATTACCTATAGTGATTAATATTATCCTGAACACCAACACTAGGTTTCTAGAGCAGAGCAGGTTATCATTTACTTACATAAATAACCACATGACTTTCCTTTGCTCCAATTTTTACCCCTGGGTGATGTGAGAAGAACCAGGCCTCATCCCATGTGAGGGGGTACTTCTATAGGTAAGGAACCCCGAAAGTGCACCTGGGCGTTTGAGAGACATGCAGATTTTCAGCGGTTGCTCTGGGACTTTTTTTTCTGGTTCAACAATCTTATCATTTGCTAATGGTGATAGTCCTGTTGCTTTCTTTACACTTCTTTTTAAATGTCATTTTCTTTTCATGTGGTTTAGGATGACAAATTTTGTACAGCGTTGAAAAGTGCAGATGCCAGGGGACGTCCTCCTTTGGTTGCTAGTTGTATGGGAAGAGCTTCTACTGTTTCACTACTGGTTATAGCACTTAGGTTTCTGGAATACACGCCTTACCAGTATAAGGAGGGTTTTTATTAATTAAAGGATGTTTAGCTACATCCAGGGATTTTTATGAGTCTATTGAGAAACTCAGATGATGTTAAAGAGAAACTTAAGGGGTATAAATTATGCATGAATTAAGGCTCTATTAATGCTTTTTGGACCTATACCTATACCTAATTTAGGACAAAAACAGAGTTTCTAAAGGAAAGTTGCCCCGTGATCTTGTCATGTTGATCATTAAAGGGCCACAATCGGTGATTCTAATAATAAATAATATAAATCTTTTGTTTATAGATTTGTAAAACAAGGGATTGAAGACTGGAACCACCAACCTTTTTCCCTGTGGGTGGTATCTCATCCAGGACAAGTGGTACTCACTGTGGTAAGCCAGTGCTGCGTTGATATATACATATTTACTTGTGGCTACACTTCCAAGAAAGCAAAGACTTAGAAATAAACCATTATGAAGGCTACTCGTATATGTGGCTTACTCTGAAGTGCATCAAGAAATAAGATGGAGCCCTGGCCGGTTTGGCTGTACGGTTAGAGTGTCAGCCCGCAGACTGGAGAGTCCCAGGTTCCCGCTAAGGGCACGTACCTCAGATGGTTTGTTCCCGGCCCCAGTTGGGGTCGTGTGGGTGGCAACCCCTCGATGTGTCTCTTACATCGATGTTTCTCTCTCTTCCTCCCTCTCTCCCACCTGCTCTATCTGATGATAAATGTAAAAAAAAAATCCTCAGGTGAGGATAAAAAAGAAATCAGATGGACAGATATGTGTGTGATAAAGTAAATACCCACAGAGCAAAAGTTGAATGTAGACTATAGGTGGTGGGTGTCTAGGCATTCACTTTTAATTCCTTTAGCTTTTCCAGTTTAAAATTTTCATAACATAATGTTGAATAAAAACAGACCATGAGTTATTTTCCTAGGGCTATCGCTATATTGCACTGTATTAAGTTTTCCACTGCTGTCATTAAAAAAGTCACTACAAACTTAGTTGCTTAAAACAACACAGTTTATTATCTTACAGTTTATGGGTCAGAAGGACCACACAGGCCTCACTGGACTACAATGAGGGTGTCAGCAGGTGGCAGTCCTTTCTGGAGGCCCGAGGGGAACTCTGCTTCCTTGGCTTCCAACTCCCGGAGGCCACTGGCCTTCCTTGGCTGACGGCCCCTTCCTTCACTTCCCGGGCCGGCTGAGCTGCCTCTCTCTGACCCTTCTGTGCCCGTATGTCCTGCTGCTAACAGGCAGGAAGAGGTCTCCAATATCGAGGACACATGTGATCACATTGGGCCCACCCGAATAACCTGCGAGCTTCTTGACATACCTTCCAGGTCAATCTGGCATTTATCCAGCAGCCTTCTTAACACAGCTCTGCTGTGTGTGGGGAGAGTGAGCGACTCAGACAACATAGTCTAGGATGGTGCTTCTGAGTTCAACTGAGGAAACACTGCTAATTTCATAGTGACGTTTTCTACCGTTATTACTGTCCCCAGGTTATTACCCAACCTGGTGATTAAGAATACAACATTTAGCCCTGGCCGGTTTGGCTCAGCGGTTAGAGCGTTGGCCTGTGGTCTACAGAGACCCGGGTTCGGTTCCCGCTAAGGGCACGTACCTCGGTTGCAGTTTGTCCCCGGCCCTGGTTGGGTTGTGCGGGTGGCAGCCACTCGATGTGTCCCTTTCACGTCGATGTTTCTCTCTCTCTCTCCCTCCCTCCTACTCTATCTGAACAAAAAATGGAAAAATGTCCTTGGGTGAGGATAAAAAAGAATACATTTAGAAAGTACAAATATTGGTGATAAATATATTTCTATTTATTAATGAATAAGGCCCCCCCTAAGCATTAGTCAAAATCCAGTCTCTTAACTCAAATGTATGCAAATCTGTAAGCTCTCTCTTTTACACGCACACAGATGGCACTCGCATATACACGCACACCACACGTGTACTTCATGAAAACATTTGCTTTAGTTTATAAAATTTATGCGTCAATTACCATATTTATATTTTACTTTTGCAGAGCCAGATCATATTTTATAATGATTGTGTCGAAAGTTTTGTGAGTTCTCATGCCAAAGAAGAATTGGAAAAAGTCCATGCTGGCATAATGCATCATCTAGACGAGGTGGCAAAGCTGGTGGTGCTGGATACTAGTAACACTCGAACAAAAACTGTCCTGGGGGCATTGTTTACCATTTATGTTCACTGCAGAGACATAGTGAGAGATTTATTACTTAAAAATATCTTCAATGCGGAGGATTTTGAGTGGACGAGGTAGGTAGATCTAAATTGTAACTCCACCTAAAATCGTTTCTCACATACACACCTCTAGGTAAGTTAATTCTCTACCATAAACTTTGTCAGAGCTGAATTTTAATTTTCCAGGATTTACAGAAATTCTAAGCAAACCGCGCTAATTTGAGTAACATATTCCTGTCTCTTTTCACTTCATTGTAACTTCTTTCTGCTTTGCGTCCCTGAGTTGACCACATTCTTCTCATAATTGCATTTTACCTTTTGCCATCAGCCAGAGGGAGTTTTCACGGAGAGAGAGCAGCCCTACCACAGGCCCCTTCTTTCCATTGTGTGCGCTCAGTTCTGGAACAAATTAAGCTGAGAAACAAACCAGAGAACATTTCCAGCTAGTTCTCGAACTCAGAATTCCCTTCCTCCTACCCAGAGTCAATGAGGGTATACTCATACATATGCAGTATTTCATACACAAATACTAACTAAAGAAGAATAAAGCTACTAAGTTTGGTGAGGAGGTCATTTATATATAATAAACATAAAAATGAAGTTTCAGTCTATAAAATTAACTTTTTTCTAAAGTTTCCTATTTATAATAAAACAACTGTCCTGCCTGCATAGTCTTGGTTCTCAAGATAAACTAGTTTGAAGAGATTCTGAATTAGGATAAATTTTTTTTTTATTTTAGGTATGACTATTTAAACTCTTGGGGAAATGGAGCAGAAAGAGGCTGCTATATTTGACTGAAACCACTGAATATTTTGTATTTGATATATATTTACACTTATAGTTTACTGTGGAAGTATAACTGTCTACATTCTTAATTGTCAAAGAAATATGCCATGTTTCATCACCCTGCAAAAAGTTTAGTATGCCATTACTACTTTCTAACAACTCTTCTTTAAAAGTGAAAATGAAAAGTGGCAGAGCAAATACAGACAAGTAAATGGGACAAAGAAGATCCTAGTAAGACTATTTGAGTGTATCTATGATTGTAGGGATATAATTCCCTAATTGTCTGCCAAGGTGACTTGCCACAGTGAACTCACAGGGCACTGCAAGATTTTTTTTAACTTTTGAGGACTCATAGGGATACACATATGTCAGATACCAAGCAAACTAGTAGCTTGAAGTGGTTTATAATTTTTTTGTGGAAGTAGTTAATAATTTTAATGTCAGATTATGCTAAAATTTTTAGTAATTTCTTACCCTTATAAAGCTAGGATTTTTACAGTTGCCCTGATAAAAAGGAAGCATTGAATGAAAATTAACATGGTACAGGAAACAAGATTGGCTGTATCCAATCTGATTCCAAGATGTGAGAAGTTGTGCAGTGCACAACAGACACACATACCCCATGAGTAAGAAACTGTGGTTACTTAGGGATGAATAACATTTTTCTTTCAATATATTTGTATCATTTTTTAAACAAGCTCCTAAGTCATCAAGACAAAAATATTAAGTTTATATGGACCTAAACATTAATAGAAGGAACTAAGAGATGCTTCTTTTGGCCTAGGATAATCATGAAAAAATTACTGACATACCACAGATATAGAGTGAACCAAGAAAGTTTGGGAACCTCTATTCTAAAGGAAGAATAATAGAAAGAATAAAGTTCTGCATATTGATGTTCATTATAAATAATGATTTAGCACTTGAATCATAAAATAAATGCTGGGTATCAACAGTAGACTAGATGAAGTGGCAGTAACACTCAGCAAACTCGAAGACAGGGCAGTGAGTTCAGTCAGAGTTGCAAAAAGAAAAAGGACAAAAAAGATTTAGATATCCTAAGGGACTAATTGAAACATCATCAAGTGGATGAATATGCACATAATAGGGGCCCTAGAAGAGGAAGAAAGGGGGGGGCGGAACATTTATTCAAAGAAATAATGGCTGAAAACTTCTCTAACCTGAAGAAAGAAATGGACATCTAGATCTAGGAAGCCCAAAGTTCCAAACAAGAGGAATATAAAGAGATCTTTACCAAAACATGTTATATTTAAATTGTCAAAAGTGAAAGGCAAGAAGGAAATCTTAAAAGCAGAGAGAGAAAAACAACTTGTTACATACAAAGGAACTTCAATAAGACAATAGATTTCTCAACAGAAACTTTGCAGGCCATAGGGAGTGACATGATACATGCAAAGTGCTTAAAGAAAAAAGTGCCAACCAAGACATTCTACTTGGCAGAATCGTCTGTCAGAGTTGAATAAGAGAGAGTTTTCTGGACAAGCAAAAACTGAAAAACTCATCATCACTAGACTGGCTTCACAAAAAAAATGTTAAAGGGTTTTCTTCAAGCTGAAACAAAAGAACACTAATTAGTAACAAGAAAACATAAAGTAAAAATCTCAGTGGCAAAATATAAGGCATCCAAATCAGAAAGGAAGAAGTAAAACTGTCTATTTGCAGATGACATGATAATGTATATATAAACTCTAAAGATTCTACCAAAAAAACAACAACAAAAAAAACCTGTTACTACCAATAAAGGAATCCAGTAAAGTTGTAAGATGCAAAAGCCAACCTACAAAATTTATTTGAATTTTTATACACTTCCAACAAACTATCAGATAAATAAAGAAAACAACCCTATTTACAACTGCATCAAAAAGAATGAAACACTTAAGAATAATTTAACCAAAACGATGAAAAATCTGTACACAGAAAACTATAACATACTGATGAAAGAAATTAATGACAACACAAATGGAAAGATATTCCATCCTCAAAGATTGGAAGAATAAATATTGCTAAAATGTCCATACTATCCAAAACAATCTATAAATTCAGTTCAATCCCTATAAAAATTCCAATGATATTTTCCACAGAAATAGGAAAAAATCCTAAAATTTGTATGGAAGACCCCCAAGAGCCAAAACAGTTTTAAGAAAGAAAAAAAAAGTTGGAGACATCATACTTCCTGATTTCAAACTATATTACAAGGCTATCATAATCAAAACAGTATGCTATTGGCATGAAAAAACAGACACATAGATCAATGGAACAGAATAGAGTCCAGAAATAAACCCACACATATGGATGATCTATATAACAATAGAGCCAATAATATATAATGGAAAAAGGATAGTCTCTTCAATAAATGGTGTTGGGAAAACTAAGAAGCCATATGCAAAGAATGAAATGGACCACTGACTTACATTGTAAACAAAAACTAACTCAAAATGAATTAAAGAGTTGAATGTAAGACTTGAAACCATAAAATGCCTAGTAGAAAACATCGGTGGTAAGCTTCTTGACGTCGGTCTTGACGATGATTTCTTGGGTCTGACTCCAAAAGCAAAGGCAACAAAAACAAAAACAAGTGGGACTACATCAAACTAAAAAGCTTCCACACAGCAAAGGAGACCATCAACAAAATGAAACGCCAACCTACTGCACTGGAGAAAATATTTGCAAATCATGTACCTAAAGAACTTATATAACTCAAAGCCAAAAACAAAAACAAAAAACACCCCAATTAATCTGATTGAAAATGAGCAATTGAACTGAATAGACATTTTTCCAAAGAAATAATAGCCTCCAGGTACATGAAAATATTCTCAACACCACTAATCATCAGGGAAATGCAAATTAAAATCACAGTGATATATCACTCTTCACCTGTTAGAATGGTTGCCATCGAGAAGGCAAGAGATAATAAGTGTTGATGAGGATGTGGAGAAAAAGGAACCTTTGTGCATAATGCCATTAAGTTCCACCAAAATTGTAGCAATTGTTGGTGGGAATGTAAATTGGTGCAGCCACTATGGAAAATGTATGGAGGTTCCTCCTAAAATTAAAAATAGAACCACCATATGATTCAGCAATTCCACATCTGGGTATTTATCCTAAGGAAACAAAATCACTATCTCAAAATTACATCAGTACCCCTATATGTATCACAGTATTATTTACAATAGCCAAGATATCTGTCAGCTGACGAATGGATAAAGAAAATGTGGTATATGCATAGAATGGAATATCATTTGCTACAATTTTGGTGGAACTTGATGGCATTATGCTAAGTGAAATAAGTCAGATTGAGAAAGACAAATACTGTATGGTAACACATGTGAAATAAAAAAACAAAACAAAAAACTGAACTCATAGAAATAGAACTGATTGGGGATTATCTGAGGCAGGGGATGGAGGGTGAAGGTGGTCAGAGTACAAACTTCCAGCTGTAAGATAAGTAAGATTTGGGAATGTAACGTATAGCACAATGACTACAGTCAACAGTACTCTGTTGTATATTTGAGCAGTGCTAAGAGAGAGGTCTTAACAGGTATCATCACAAGAAAAAAGTTTCTAACTGTGAAAGGATAAGTTTTAACTAAATTTATTGTAATGAATCATTTCACATCATATTGTACACCTTAAACGAATAAAACGTTGTATGTCAATGTCTCAAGATAATGAGGGTAGGGGAGTGGAGGGACAGAATGTATACCTTAAAGCAATAAATAGGTCATAAATTTAACTCACAGGCTTGTAGAGGAGAATATTTATGGTGAACTACATAATTCATAGTGTTCATAAGATGAATACAGTCAGTTTTTCCAAAGTACAAATTTTTTTACACTTAGAACAAATAGCATTTCTCTCAACTACCCTCATAGTAGGAATCTTGTTTATAATGAACAATGTCTTAAAGCACATTCTTATTTGAAACCATAATAAAGTTCATAGGGATGATTCCTTTATAAATCCTCCATTAATCATACCAAAGCAACGTGATTCAGCATGTCTCGGAGGAAAGAGAACTCATGTTTGTAGTCTTCTGAGTTCTCATTTTGATGTTTAATATAGTCATTATGAATTGTCCATCACTTTTCATTTGATTTTAATGTTTTGATTTCTTTTTTTAATTAATACTTTAATCTTCATTATGTGTCTGCATTTGAAAAAAAAAACTAAAAATAATTTTGTCCCTACAATACGAGCATTTAAAATATTACTTTCAGACATTTGCAGTATAAATGGAATGAAAAACAAAAGTTGTGCTATGTGTCTCAAGGAGATGCCAGCTTCACTTACGGCTACGAGTACTTGGGCTGCACCCCAAGACTGGTGATCACACCCCTCACTAACAGGTGCTGGCTGACTCTCACTGGAGCCCTGCGCTTGAACCTGGGAGGCTGCCCCACTGGGCCAGCCGGCACGGGAAAAACCGAGAGTATCAAAGATCTGGCAAAAGTAAGTGGTTTTATATCGAGGATAAAAACTTTTTTAAGTCACAAACTTCCATGGTACCTGAAATTCACCCTGTTTCTGTTCTGAAGATGTTCATAACATTTAACTAGCACATTAATTAATTCATACCACACATTGATTAATTTTTGAAGGGCTATTGTGTGTTAGGATTTAGGATCTCAGGAAGCCAACATATGCTTTGTATTTACTTGAAAATCCATTACACTAACCAACTGACATATGAATGGAAGCCTTGTCCCCCTCCCCCTTCCTGTAGGGGTGAGGCATTTATTTTGAGCCCCATACACAGATTTGTGCCTAGTCTTGGTGATTAATAGCTCCGTGTGTTGTGTGACAGAGAGAGAGACAGACAGAGACAAGAAACAGAAGAAACGGTTAAAAGGAAAGGATATAGTTTATGACTTCACTAGAATGCTTTTTTCTTTTTTGATGTTTCAAAACATGTCCTTAATGCTCCATGTACTAATCGACTAAACTATGAGAGTATATGTGTATTTCTTCCAAACTGAGTTTTGTGAATTTTTAAATTTGGCATGTAATTCATCTATAATTGCAAAAGTTTTCTCAAAAAAATAAAGACATTTTATTACTTTTGAAATTTTAACATTAGTATTTTGTATCATAATTCAAGGAATATATTAAAATAATATTTTTGTTTCCCAGGCCTTAGGTAAACATTGTGTGGTCTTCAACTGTTTTGAGGATTTGGATTATAAGGTAAAGCTAATATACGCAGGTAAAAATATTGTACAAATAAAAGGAATTATTCAATGAGTATTGAAAGAACAGGAAAAATATCTCAGATACATTAAGTGTTAATAGAACTATAAATGCTATTAATAGTTTAAACTAATAGAATAGAAACTTAGAATGTATTATAAACTTAAAACATTATAGTTTGTTTTTATTCAACTGAACTACTTCTAAGATTGTGGTTTTCAAACTTTCTGATGGAGATATTTCCAAACAAAATCCAATATGGAACATGAATATGAACATAAAAAAATTAAGAGTACTGCTTTATTCATATAAATTTATATGTTCTAATTCTATACATTACATTAATTTACTGAAAAGGTAAATCATTGAGAACAATGAGGCAACTATAATTAACACAAAAATTTGAGTCAACGTTTATATAGATGATTACAACTTTATGTCTACCTTAGTTTGTTTTGGTTGCACATTATCTGAGGTATATGTCATAATCTTAAATATGTATTAAAATTTTATATACCTCTGTGTCTGTCACAAATGTACTTGAAGTTTCAAAACATTTAATTCTGCATGTTAAGTCCCAGCCTTGTCATTGTATTGCTGTCTGAGATCCCGCATTTACAGTTTGGGCTTACTTATTTTTAAAAATCAATAAATAAGCTTATGGAGTTATTTATTTACTTATTTTATTCCTCACCTGAGGATACTTTTCTATTTATCATCAGATAGAGTGGGAGGGAGGGAGAGAGACACACATTGATGTGATAAAGCCACATCAACTGGTTGCCTCCTGCATGACTTACCCAGGGCTGGGGACGAACTGCAGACGTATGTGCCCTGGGCCGGAATCAAACCCGAGACTCATTGGTTCACGGGCCTACACTTGAATCTCTGAGCCAAACCAGCCTGGACTGCTGGAGATATTATTAAGACACCAAGTAGAGTCTCTTCTCTGGACGGAAACTACCTCCCAGTGGGACACAGCAGGCCTAGGAGTAGGGTGACTGAGTGAGGATCTTGCCTGATGAGCAAAACTGAAGGGGGAACCAAAAAACCTGGAAATCAAGATACATAATAATTGTAATGCAATATTTTTTAGAATGAAAATGAATGCCCCCCAAAATACTCATGATATACACAGTATCAAACATTTAAAGAAAGACCAATTCTGACTCCTGCAGCTGGAGGAAGGAAGCAGCTTCAGGACCCTGGGCTCCAGCGGCTCCCGCTGGCTCTCACCCCCTCCCTCCCTGTCTGCAACACCCAGCAAAGCTCCTCATCGTCCCCAGATGCCCTTTGGCCTGACAGAGTTTTTGTTTGTTTTGCTGTTTTGTTTTAGCTGCCAGCATTTACAGATCAATAGATTTTAAGCCAGGCATTCAGCCTCTCCCAGAACCCTATGGATCTGGCCACCCTGGGCCTGCGCCGTCATGAACAGTAAAAGCTGAGCAGCAGCTGCGTGCTTTAGCTGGGCCCACTCCAGTGGCCTGGAGTCCGCCTCTGGTCCTGCACTGGGCCTGGTTCACTAGACCTCATTACCCAGCAGCCCACCACTCACCCTGGAGTCTGGTCCTACTCTAGAAGGAGGAGCACCTTCCTGCAGAGCATGGCTCAGGGAGGGCCAGACTGGGTGAACGTCAGCTGTGGCCCCGATTGGATGGTCGCTGTCCGCATCAGTTTGCTACTGTGTGTTTAGGCTTAAGAGACAGAGTAGTTGACTGTCCAAGAGTCGAAGCCGACCTACAGGAAAGCCTGGAGGGAGGGCATGCAAACAGTGTGTACTTGGTTTGGGTAAATGGGAGGAACACGCAAATATTAATATCCTGGTCAAAGTTTTCACCTACATAGTAATTTTTTTCTTTTTAAGATCATGGGGAAATTCTTCTTGGGACTAGTGCAGTCAGGAGCGTGGTGCTGCTTCGATGAATTCAATCAGACGAGTGTGGAAGCTCTCTCGGTGATCGCCTCCCAGATCCAGACCATCAAGGCTGCTAAGGACAGCTATTCTGTCAGGTACTTGTTGGCTGCGCTCTGCCCTGCCCTGCAAACGTGATCTACGTTCCCGGTATTAAGTACTTTCTTCTGCAGTAAGTGCTTGGGTGGGGTGGGAGCGTCTGAACACAGACTAAGAGGGATGTTTCCTTTGCTTGGCAACTCATGTGAAAGAACATTTGAATTTGAATTTGAATTTTATTAGTACCTTTTCATCTTATGGTATTTCATTTGAAGAAACCAAAGTAATGCTACATCTTTTTCTTTTTTTTGGTACATACCCCTAGTGGGAACCAAACCCAGGTCTCTGGTCCGCAGGCCAATGCTCCAACTGCTGGGCCATACCAGCCAGGGCGCACCTGACATCTTTTTAAAAATCAGAATTGTACTGTCCACATACCTGAAGCCCTCTCTTATTCCATTGCTCTGGATTAATATACTTCAATTGGAAAGTCTTGTAATGCTAATATTTGTATGTAAGCATTATTAATGTTTACTAATCCAAACAAACATTTTTTTTCTCTGCAGATAAATTCAAGAACTTACATGATTAACTTGGGGGGTGTAATTGGGTCTGTGGGTTTAAAATGTCTATTGCAATCCCATGTTTCTAAGTCAAGCTAATGGACACTCACTTCTAGCTTTACTCTCAAGGGTTTTGTTCAGACTGTCAGAACCGATGTCACAAGGCCTCACAAGTCTGTGGCTGTACGTGGGGGTCACAGTGTCACACGTTTTACCTGTTCTTCACCACACCTCGCCTCCGCGGCGTCTTCCTCGCCGTGTTCAGGGAGCCCCCCAGGATCGCCCCAATGGTGTCTCCTTTCCTGTTCTGACCACCCTCACTGGTATCAGCTGTTCCTGAAGTCAGAGGATTTCTCTCCATTGTCTCTATCCCTAGTGCCAACAATAGGCCACTGATGTCCCCGCCGAGGGTTCTGTTTCCCAGTGTTCTCGGAATCATTTCACTGGGGAGTAGGGGGCAGCCCGTGTCCCATGCTAACGCGGGGACTCTGTGCCCCGGGTCTCCTCCGGTTCTCCCCCCTGGGTAGGGCAGTTTATTCATGTGGGGCCTTCCAGCCTCAGTCCCCACAAAACTCTTCAGACGTGATCACATAAAGTAGAATCCCAGCGGGGCTCCCGATTTTGGCTTAAGATGCACCTCTCATTCCCCTTTCACCACTGTTTCTTCCCAGCCTTCTCTGTCTGGGCTGTGATGTAGCAGCCTTAATAATTTCCCAGCTCGGGTGTAGTTTTCCCACACCTTGGCCTGGAGAAAACAGTTCTCTTGCTGACGGATTCTGTAATGCCCTGTAGGTTTGTACTGGAAGGAAGAGAAGTTCGTATCAACATGTCTTGTGCGGTGATTGTCACCATGAATTATGGGTAAGTGTCAGGTGATCTGTGGTAGGAGTGGACACAGGCCAGAATCCTTTTTTTAAGTCTTAACCATACACGGAGTGGTCTGGCATTGTCTGCTGCCAGTCACCCTCCGCCGCCGGCCCGAACCTCTCTGCGGGCTACACCATTTCTACACAGCTGCTGCAGGGTTATTCGTGCGAATGACCTCACAGTGTGCTTCTGAACAGTGACATTGTCACTTCGCAGATAGCCGGAGAGAACGGGGTAGTTCAGCCGTTTGTGGCAAAGAGGACACAGGCAGAAAAGCTGATGAGAATACAGTGGTTACAGGGGTGGAGGCTGGGCAGGCTCAGAACACCTGTTGATGGAATGTTGTGATGCTTGTCTTGGGAGTCAGACGGGACTAATGGGAGGTGATTATGGGAGGAGGTGCAGGAGGAAAAAAATCATAAACTAGGAAGCTTTGTGAGATGAAAACTGCAATAGAAACCATCTTGTAAACTTGTTTTCAGATTAAGTTCACGTAGAAAGCCAATAGAATTATTTGGAGGGAAGTTATATTTATGTGGTGCCTCATTTGAAAAACTGAAAAATGGTGTTTGTTTTTTTGTTTGTTTGTTTTCTTCTCCTCTTAAGATACAAAGGTCGAGTGGATCTCCCAGATAACTTAAAGTCTCTGTTTCGCCCGGTGTCCATGGTGACTCCCCATTATCAAAAGATTGCTGAAATAACTCTGTTTTCAGTTGGTTTCAAATCTGCCAAATTACTCTCCAGAAAGCTAGTTATCCTTCACGAATTAGCCAGCAAACAGCTCTCACAACAGGTAATGAACTGCTTTTCTCAAATAAAGGTGATTGTATAAAACTCTTCTGGTTTGGGTCCAGGAATGACCTGGAAAAATAATGGAGCTAGAATTCCTATCCGCACGTCAAGTCCATGCCTCAACTTGGACGTCAGGCAATATGTCGAGTCAGTCAAGTTTCCACACCTTGTGCCCGGGATCTGGGGAGAGTACTTGAGTCTCTGTTATTTTAAACTGGGACTGCTTTCTCCGTATAAGGAGGTTAACATACAGAGCACTGCTTCTCGAACTTAAATGTGCATCAACAGAACTTGGAGGACTTGTTGAAAGACAAATTGCTGGACCTTACTGCCAACTCTCTTCATTGTCTGGGGGCAGGGCTCACAAGTGTGAATTTCTAACACGTTCTTACAAGTGTGCATTTCTAACACGTTCTTACAAGTGTGCATTTCTAACACGTTCTCAGGTGTTCCTCCTGCTGTTGATCTGAGTAGTGTCGCTCTATGAAAAGTATTGTTCTAGGACATGCCAGCTTAATGACCATTTGTTTATAACCCAAAGTGGTATGGACAGCTAACCACAGTATTTCCAGAGCGTTCCCCTTGACAGTAGTCTTTCCATTTGTCTCTCTCTGTCAGAGACATTTTAATGCGATTGTTAACACCTTTGATGCTTGTTTGCTGTCCTCTCAGAAGAAGACTTTCAGGAGCACCAGTGTGGGGGAGAAGTGAGGGCATTCGAAGCAAACTTGAATTCATATCACGGTTTCTCTTCATAGCACTTATTGCTATAAATATACTCTTTGCATTTATTGCCAAAGTATTTTATTTTTCCTTCAGAAACTTAATAATTCAAATGTTTTCATGTTTGATAGGATCATTATAATTTTGGCCTGAGGTCTCTGAAGACAACTATAATACTGGCTGGAAAGAAGAAACAGAAGTTTAAATGGTCAGTTGAATTTTGAATGTTACGTGAAAGGGAGTTATACAACACTGAGAAAACACTGCAAATTTTTTTATTATTTTATCCTCACCCGAGGACATTTTTGCATTTATCTTCAGATAGAGCAGGAGGGAGAGAGGGAGGAAGAGAAAGAGAGAAACATAGATGTGAGAGAGACACATTGACTGGTTGCCACCCACATGACCCCAACCTGGGCCAGGGACAAACTGCAACCAAGGTACATGCCCTTAGCGGGAACCAAACCCGGGTCTCTCTGGTCCATGGGCCGACGCTCTATCCACTGAGCCAACCAGCGAGGGCAACACTGCAGAATTTTAAGTAATAATAAGATAAAATATGAAGCTTCTAGAGTGTCACAGTAAAGTATGGAAAAGGTTATTAGGAATATGAAAGAAGAAAAAGAAAAATGCACAAAATCCCTGGGCATTTTTTCTCCAATATTGAGCCAAAGCGACCAGGGCAAGTGCAGATTTGAAAACTAAGACACAAAATTTAGAAGCCATAAAAGTGAAAAATAATACTATTTTTGAAGTCAAAAGACAAATGACAAACTAGGAAAAAGGTATTTACAACTCATGTCACAGTTAATAGCTCATCCTCATATAAAGATTTCCTAGTAAAACAGGCAAAGGACATCAACAGGCAGGTCTCCGGAAGTGAAACACAAAGTCATTTAAATAAATGAAAATACACTCAACCCGACTCTTAATGAGAGACACGCACATTAAAAGTCCACTGAAATACTGTTGCCCACTTATCAGATGGGCAGAAATATAGAAGTTGGATGGAACGTTTCGTTGGTGAGGCTAGAGAGAAGCAGGCATCTTTCATCGGTTTGCTTTGCAGTTGTGCTGAAGGGTTACCTATTTTAAAAATAAAAAACATGAATATCTTGCAAAAGCATATATTGATATACCATTTGTATGAATTTTTAAGCAATAAATTTTATAGATCGTTTGTGGATACATATAGATGTAATCAAAAGTATAAAATGTTGAGAGGGAGAAGCCCAAAGTTTAGCTTGACTACAATATTTTATTTTTTTAAAATAAAAATAAAAGAAGAACTGAGGCATATATTGCAAAACAGCCTGTATAATATTAAAGGCATGGAAACAGGTGTCGGTTATGAAATGTTCTATAACTTAGAAAAATGAGAGATGAACAGGACCAATTACCAGCCCCCTGGTGCCCGAGTCCTGAGATTGTCTCATAGCCGTCCACGTCTTTGAAGAACCATCCCATGAGAGTGGCACCGTCTGCTTCCCAAGTCCCCGGTTAGTTGTCTCCACATCGCAGAAAGGCCCGAGGTCTCACAGGCCCCCTTTGGATCGGAGTTCCTGTTTCCCGATTACTTTGTCCGGCTCCTGTCACCGAGAGCTGTGTTCTCTGTGATCGGCGGCGCCGGGAGGTGAGGAGCAGAGGCTATGGCAAAGGGGCACGAGCGGCTTGCTCAGCACAGGCTTGCCGCGAACCTAACGTTGGTTTTTGGTTTTGGGTTGTTTTTTTTTAAATCCTCACCCGAGGATATTTTTCCATTTATCTTCAGATAGCGTGGGGGGAGGGAGGGAGGAAGAGGGTGAGAGAGACACGTTGACTCATTGCCTCCCACAAGACCCTGACCAGGGCCGGGGACGAACCGAACCGCAACGGAGGTACGTGCCCTTGGCCGGAATCGAACCCACAACTCCCTGGTCCTCGGGCGAATGCTCTAATCACTGAGCCAAACCAGCCAGGGCCAAACCTTCTATTTGTAAAAAAAAAAAAGAAAAACACTATCTGTGAGTATAATAGTGGACGTTTATCTTGAGATTTCCTTTTTATTCTTACATTGTGGCACATAGACCCCATAGTATTCCCAGATGCCATCCCCAAAATTATTATTTTGTAGAATTTTAGTGAGGTGCTATTCTCAGATCTGAGAATATTGTTACAACATGTTATCTGTTATCTCTCCCCCTCTCTATATAATACTACCCCACCACCACCCCCAGACATATAATCATTTTTTAGTGTAAAACAAGATCTGCCTTGGGAAAAAAAATTGTGAAAAGGGTCAAGGTTATTCCCCAGAACCCCAGCAGTAAAGCCTGGAACTCTTCCCTCCTCCTACAAATTTTTAATAAATCATTGTTTTTTTCATTTGGCATTAGCCTGAATTCATTTCTGTTATTTGCAGCCAAAAAAAAAATCTGATATAATACCCATCCCTGAATCAGTGACTGGGGAATGACGTTACCTTGACTGTTCTAGATGAGTCAGAGCCCACCCCTGGGGCTAGGGACCAGATGAACCTCATCCAAACCACATAGCTGGGAAGGATATTGGAATAGCAACCTCTAGAAATGAATATTAATGGTCTTTAATGTCAGCAAAACATACTTGCTAACTTGTTCTTTATGTTTGTTTTCTATCGTTAAAGTAACACAAGCGGCACTCTCTCTGAAACAGATGAAAGTCTGATCATTATTGAAGCTGTAAGAGAAAGCAGTTTACCAAAATTTATTGCAGAAGATGTCCTACTTTTTGAAACGATTCTAGGAGATATTTTTCCTGAAGCGACCGTTTCAAAAGTAAATCAGATTGACTTGGAGGTAATGAGACCTTTGAAAATTGTCACAAATGATTTGGATGTGGAGTATTAATGAAGATAAACTAGATGTGAATGAAAAATATTACAGTTCTTCCGGAAATACTCTATTCATGTTATAATTCGGGGATAAAAATACTTGGAGATATATTATCCCCTGGGTGTGGGGTGGTTTTCTCTGCATTATGGTCTAATGGAAAGAAGAATGAACTGTACCTTTGGGCTGAGAGGAAGGTTGGTCAGTATTTTTGCTGGATGCAACCAAGCCACCGGGCAGGGCGAGAACTAGTTTTTCCCCCACTGGACAGCCCTGCTGAGTTGGCTGTGTCTCCTCCAGCTGCTGCCTTGCCTGCCCCACTGTAGGAGCGCAAGGAATGAGAAATAAAGTGGGCAAGGTTGGTGGAAAAAGACGATAAACTGTCGTTTTTTTCCTGGGCATAGTTACCAAGTGTATCCACACTGAAATAACCACTTTAGAAGGAAGCGTAGCTGCCCTTTTCACGTCTCTGTTGAATTATTAAGTATCTTTCTAAGCTAACGCCACTTTGTGGATGCTTTCATGTATAACCACATCAAGTTTGCAATTTTAAAAATTTCACTTATCTTAGAAGATCTTTAACACTGAAACATTAAAATAATCATTACAAAATTGAAAGCCTACCTGAATGATTAGAATTACACAGGGATGTCGAATCTTTTATGTTTTCTTTTATTGTAGGATAAAAACATACTATGGTTATAGCTAGTACTTACATACATCTTAAAGCATGAGTTCTTAAATTTAGGGAGGGTCTATGAATTTGCTACCAGAGTCTGTGATAATAAAATATGGATGTATTATATTTGGGGTGGAAAGTAGGTTTTCATTACGCTCAGGTTGGTGAACTAAAAAGGTTAAGAACTACTATCTTAAAGCACAGTATCTAGTACCTAGCTAAGAGAGATTTTGTAGGATTATATATCAAGAGTTTGATTTGCAGTGCATTTTAAATGAATGTATTTGTTTTGTTTTAGAAAGTATTATCTACTGCAATACAACAGTTGGGCTTACAACAATGGCCAGCTCAGAAGGAGAAAATCATACAGTTTCATAATCAACTTCAGGTAAGTGCAGAATGGCATGTTAGCTTTGGCTTCTGGGTTTTAATAGGTATGATCAAGGAGGAAAACACAATACTAGTAAAAGAGCTATTATCATGTTCTTCAAAGTAAAGTGGTTTATTGACTACTGTTTACCTAGACTTTGTTCTTCAAGCCCTCACTGTAACTCTCAACAAATTAATCTTTTCCACCCTGGTCCCTTTAATGTATAATTGTAAAAAATAAATCCTATAAATGTGGTGTAAAAGGTTCTGCATTCTGCTACTCCTTTGAATTTCCTGTTCTCTATGAATGAATCATTTGGAGAAACATCAGACTGCATTTCCCCGATTACCAGTAAAATCGTACATCCTTTTATATGTTTATCAGCCTTTTGTGTTTTCTTTGAATTGCCAAATTATGTAATGTACTTATTTTTCAATTGGGTTGTCCGTCTTTTTCCTAGTAAAAGTAGACTTTTCATGATGCATTTTTGTATCCTTTTTGATTGCTGTATGCATTGCACATTCTCAAAGCCGTGGCGTTCTAGAAACATTAATGTTGCTAAGGTATGCAGGAGACCTTGTTAATGCAGTAAAAGTTTTTATCTTCTTGTAATGGTTTGTGTTTTTGTGACCTATATTTAGAAATGTTTTCTATTTCGTAAAGACGTTTTCCATATTTTTCTCTGAAAGTTTTAGATGTCTTTACTTCCCATTTTTAAGTTTTGATAAGGTGTTTGGACAAAGTGAAGGTAAGGGAAATAGAGTTAAAAATATTTTTGAGTCAATTTTTGATAAGGCCATTCCAATGCTCAGTAATACCCGATGCCCATGAATGGTAGGGAGTATAGAAGGTCCATAAAATAACTCAACCATCAGCTCCTTGTTCAATGACTTGCATTGTCAGATTGCAGATGGTTCCGATATCCAAACACGTGACACAAATTAGTTGCAAGAGACATAATGCTGCCCTGGCCAGTTTGGCTCAGCGGTTGGAGCATTGCCCTGCGGACCAGAGAGTCCTAGGTTCGGGTCCCACTAGGGGCGCGTACCAAAAAAAGAGAGAGAGAGAGAGAGAGAGAGACATAATGCTGCTATGGCTGTAGTTCACTGATTGGACTAGAACAGCAACTTCAGAACTTGAAATGGTGTCAGTATCAGTGAGGCACCACTGAGCCCTGAGAGAGGGGATCAAAGATCTGATGTAGGATCTGCATGAGTAGTGGGGGTCATTCATGCCCTGTGCTGTGTGGCTCCCCACTGTGAGACAGCTGTGTCTGCTGCCGTCAGGAGTCACAAGTCAGGATGCAGTGGTAGCCCCTGCACCACAAACACATGATCCTTTACTTTGTGTGTTCTGTGCTGGGGGACATGTCGCCACATCCAGCACAGTGTTATCTGGAGCACAAGCATGGCAGTCTCAGTTCATCTCCTCAAGGTCTAGGTCCTAACCATGGGCCCATGAGTGACTCAGACAGTGTGATCAGCAGCCACCATTTTGTTATGCAGTCACAGCCCCAGCGAGGGTTGTCTTTAGTCTTCTAATAAAGCAGTATTCCAAGTGGCAGCCCAGACACCTGGGCCATCGGCAGAGCCTGAGAGTCAGTCCTTCCTGGTGAGCGGAATGAACAGGTCTGCTCTTGCTTCTTCAGAGCTGGCTCCAGAGGGACAGCGGCCACTCTTCCCCGGGAGGCCGTCTTGCCAGGGAGCAGGTTAGCTGTGTCTTGTACATGCAGTTTCCATTTGACAAGCAAGCTTTTGGACCCTCACCCTGCCAGTTATAGGGGGACAGTCAGACCAGAGAATCAGGAGGACTCCTTGCCGGTACAGAGATTGGGATAGACACGAAAAGATGTTTTAGCCTTACCCATATTTTAACTTTAAAGTATCTATGTGGCACACTGTTAAAAATAATGTCTTCGACGCTGCTACAATAGTCCAGAAAGGTGATGAGGGCCCCCTTGGCGCATCTTAGGAGCTTTAGCCTCGGAGCCTTTCCCACCTTGTCCCAGCTGTTTGGGCTGCTGTAGCACCAGACCCTTGACTGTGTGGTTCAGGCAACGGAGGTTTGTTTCTCACAGTCTGGAGGCTGGGAAGTCGGGAGCAGAGTGCGGGCAGATCTGGCTCCTGGTGCTCCCCTCGCTTCCTGCAGTTACTTTCTCACTGAGTCCTCACGCAGGGCGGAGAGAGTGAGTGCCGGTCTCTCTTCCTCTCCTTTATAAGGACACCAACCCCATCCGGGGGCCCTGCTCTCGCGACCTCATCTAACCTTAATTACCTGCCAAAGGGCCCCCTCCAATACCATCACATTGGGTGTTAGGACTTCAACGTTTGAATTTGGGGGGTGGGACACCAGAACTCCAAGGGAGGGCAGTTGTGCTTGGGATGGAAAGAAGACAGAATCAAGCAAAAGTTTTGTAAGAGATAAGGGGATGAGAAGCAAGTGTTCTACTTTGTATGATTGATCCATAGTGGTTTTCTTGACTAGATTAGGGAAGTAAGAGAAGCGACCCGTGTGAAAAGAACATACAGATTAGATTACGTTGACTTTGAAAACCGTGTGAGACATTCAAATGGAAATCTTTAGTAGACCATTGAAATTTCAGTCTGGCATTTAGAACCAAAGACTGGGGAAAATATATACATTAGGGAGTCACTAGAATTCAGATAATAGTTAAAGATACTCAAATTCATGAGGTTATAGAGTTTCATTGTAGAAGAGAGAGACAATGATGAATTACGGAATGCTAACATGGAAAGAATAATCAGAACTCAAAAGAGAGATAAAATGGAGCCAAGAAAAACCCAGATGAATTTTATTACAGAAGCCAATTGTAGAGAAAGCTACAGGAATAAAGGAGAATTGGAAAGTGAGATAAATTGTTAAATATCAAGAATTGGAAATTGTGCATTTTAAAATTAGATTTCTGATGACTTTAACACGAGCCTAGTCAATCAACAAAAACAACACAGATTGTAATAGATTGAACAATAATTTGAAGGAAGGGTTTGTCAATATACTTAGAGACGTATTTATAAAAACCTTCAAGTTTCAGCTCAGCTGAACCATTAGTAAACCAGACTTAAGCCATAAATCTGCTGTTTCATTTTAGGCTTCTGTTGGTGTGATGTTAGTGGGCCCAACAGGTGGAGGAAAGACAACAGTCAGAAGAATTTTAGAAAGAGCATTAATGCTATTACCAGTTGAAGACGTATTATCAATTAACGAAAGGGAGTCTATTTCACAGGTAAATGTTCTACAAAATAAAATGTTTTTCTGTTGGTCAAGATCTTACCTTATGCTTCAGTTACATTGTATGTTCTCTTTAAGTAAGTTGTTCTGTACCTGTTCAATGTATTGCTAGGAATTTTGTAGTTAGGAATCATTTGTAGTGAGTGGGGTGTCTTTTATTTGAATCTCAAACTGCAATTGCTGGTTTAAAGTAAAAAGATTGACTTATATATTTATTTTATACTTAGTCACTTTACTTAATGGCCTGGTAAGTTCTAATGTTTGGGGGTAGTCAATTGCATCATCTTCAAATGAATATAATTTTGTCTCTTTTCTAATATTTATGTAACTTATATTCTTATTGAATTGATTAACCCTCTAAGGCAATGTTAACTATAATATCTAATTTCTTATTTTATCTGGAATGCAGTTAATGTTTCTGCATTTAATATGATTTTTACTCTTGGTCTATGATAAATATTCTTTATCATACTTCAGAAGTTTCTTTTCTGTTCTCATATATTTGGGTTTTTTACTCCTAGAGTTTATGAAATGATTTTTAGCCTCTATTTTTTTTTATATTTCAATTAGTTAATGTACTAAGCTATGTTGATAGATTTATTAATGTTTAATTGTCCTTGAATTTCTAGAATAACCCCTACTTTTTCATGATATATTTATTCAACATAAAGTTAGACTCCAATGCATAGTGTGTACTTCAGTTATCTCATTTAAAGATCATTGATAGTGATATGTTACAAAAGTCTTAGAAAATCAGGTTCAGAGATGGAGACGTTTTCTTTTCTCTGAGTTGTAATAGCCTTCAAAATCATGCATGTGACAGTTCATAGTACTTGATCCTTCCCTCTTCTCAACTCCCCTGATCAACAGGTCTTAGTTAGCTCTTAAGCAATTATTGTAATTAATAGGTGAATTATCACAGCAATAATAATAACTAATATTTATGTTGTACTAAATATGGGCCAAATACTGGCTGAAACACTTTTACTTGAATTCCCTCATTTAATCCTCAAAACAAACCTGTGGGCAGGAATTGGTTTTATTAAAAGTGGTTGTTTTTTTTTAAATATTTTTTTCCTTTATTGATTTTAGAGAGAGAGGAAGGGAGAGGGAAAGCTAGAAACATTGATGAGAGAGCACATCAACTGGCCGCCTCCTGCAGGACCCCCACTGGGGATTTGGCCCACAACCTGGGCATGTGCCCTGACCAGGAATTGAATTGGCAACCTCTTGGTGCATGGGTCAACATTCAACTAGTGAGCCACACCAGCTGGGCAAAATTGTTTTGTTTTGGTTTTTTATTACAAAATAAGTATATACAATTGTGAGAAATTTCGAAAATACAAAAATATAAAGAAATAATAATTACTAGATAGAACAACTGCAAATATTTTGCTATATTTCCTTTGATTATTTTTCCTACACTAATTATATTTCAAAATAATTGAGATAGTACTATATATAAATGATCTCCATTTTTCTGTTAGCATTTTTACCTAATATTATATGCTGAGAATTATCCCTAAGTCATTAAAAGTTCTCACAGTATCATTCCAATGACTGTCTACTGTATATATGACTATACAATAACTTATTTAATGATTCCTTTATGTTTAATATTTTTTTAATTTGGGTTTTTAAAATACAATTATAATAAAAATATTTAGGCTGATGTCAGGACCTTAGGATCTTACTCTTTAGTTCATGACTTTTTCCTAGTTGGTCTGTTCAAGATCTTCTCTTTATTTTATTTTATTTTTGTTTTGTTCAATTTAGTTGACTTTATCTCCTAATTTTTGCTTCTATTCCTTCATCATAGGAATCCTCTCTAATGATTTTACTAGATGCCCTTATATATGTGTATGTTAACCCAGGTATGGGATTGGTTTGTGGTAGGGTATAATTTTACCATGTACTGAAAGGTGAAATTTACATATTGTGTAATTAACTAAGGAATCCAATTCAGTGACATTTAGTGTGTTCACAATGTAGTACAGTCACTACCATTCTCTAGTTTCAAATGTTTTCATCACCCCGGGAGAACACCCCTACACATTTAGAAATCACTATTACCTTCTCCATTTCTTGGAAACCACTGATTGGCTTTCTGTCATGATGGATTTGTCTGTTTAGGATATTTCATATAAAAGAATTATACAATATGTGACCTCTTGTGTCTGGCTGCTTTTACTTAACCATATGTTTTTGAGATTTATTCAAGCTGTAGCATGTATCAGTACTTCATTTTATTTTATGGCTGAATAATATTTCACTATATAGAATATTTGTTTACACATTCATCACATTTTGTTTAGTTATGTCTTGATAGATATTTATGTTGGGTTCACCTTTTAGCTATTATGTTTAACTTTATGAGAAAGCACCAAACTGTTTGGACTTTTCTTTGTTAGAGGTTGTTGATTACTGATTCATTCTCGACTTTTTATAGATCTGTTGAGATTTTCTATTTCTTTGTTGAATCAGTTGACTAATTTTTGGTATTTCTAGGAATTTGTTTCTACTAAATTATATACTTTGTTGGAATACAATTTATAGTGTTTTCTTATAACCCTTTTAAATTATGCACAGCAGTAGTAATGTCCATACATTTCTGCTATGATTTATTTGTGCCTTTTCTATGTTTTTCTTAGTCAGTCTGGCTGTTGTTCATTTTAGTTCTCATTGGTTCTCTCTGTTGTTTTTCTATATGCTCTTTTGTTTACCTCTTCTCTAATTATTGTTTTCTGTTTTCTTCCTTTTTATCTCTTTAGGCTTAGTTTTCCCTTCTATTTCTAGTTTCTTATGGTATAAAATGAAATGGTTGATTTGAGATCTTTCTTCTCTTTTGATGTTGATGTTTACGGTTGTAGTTTCTCCTCTTTGCGCTGCTTTCACTGCATCTCATTCGTTTGGGTATATTGTTTTCATTTTCATTTATCTCAGTTCCCTAGCTGTCTCTTTCTTTTTTTTTCTTTCCATTTTTTGTACAGATAGAGTGGGAGGGAGAGAGAGGAAGAGAGAGAGAGGGAAATGCCGATGTGAAAGGGACACATCGAGTGGCTGCCACCCGCACGACCAACCAGGGCCGGGGACAAACTGCAACCGAAGTACGTGCCCTTAGCGGGAACCGAACCTGGGTCTCTCCGGACCGCAGGCTGATGCTCTAACCGCTGAGCCAAACCGGCCAGGGCATCTTTCTTTTGACCATTAGTTGTTTGAGAGGGTATTGTTTAACAGCATATGTTTGTAAATTCTCCACGTTTTCTTCTGTTATTGATTTCTATTTTCATTCTCTTGTGCTTGAAGAAGGTATGTGGTATGATTTCAGTCTTTTAAAATTTGTTAAGAGTTATCTTATGACTGCTCCTCAGACTGGGTAATTACAACAGCCCTCTCTTCATAACGCTTATTCTTTTTTCTGTCTGCTCAGATTATTCAGTGCTTCTGTTGAACTTTTTTTTTTTTTTTTATTCCAGCCATTGTATTTCCAGCTTCAAAATTTCTATTTGGTTCCTTTTTCTAATTTTTCTCTCTTTATTTATATTCCCTACTTGTTCTCATATCATTTTTCTCATTTCTTTTTGTTTTTTGGCCATGTTTTCCTTCCTTTCTTTGTGCATATTTAAGACTGTTAAAGACTTTTCTAGTATGTCCAATGCCTGAGCTTCTTCAAGGATGGTTTCTCTCAACTGACATGCCCCGTTGAATGGACCATGTTTTCATGTTTCTTTGTATGCCATGAGATTTTTTGTTGAAAGTTGGACATTTGTGGAAACAGCCCCTTTTCTTAGTCTTGACAGACCTGCTGTATGCTGGGGGAGTTCACTGACTAGCTGGGCCTACTCTGAACCTAAGATCAGCCTAAGATGAACATGTAGGGTGTTCTTGGGTCTTTTCTGTGCGACATCTTAACTGGGCCTGTGTGTGGCTTTCACGGTTCCTCTGTGTATGTAGCTATTTGAATTCCTTAATTTCCCAAAGATCCTATTCTATCTCCTCCCTAGGGCCTTAGATGGTCTATTACATATCTCCATCCATGATCTCTGTCTTAGGCTTCTGGGGCTTAGTAGCATTCCTGCAGTTTTTATAAGAAGTGTCTGCCACCTTTTCTAACTGAGATCCTAGATGGTGGCACAGCCCCCAGGTGTTCAGGTAGCCTCACAGGGTATGTTGCCTGCTTGAATGCCCGTTCTGACCTGAAGCTTACAACTCTGCCCCCCTCTCCCTCCAACCCTGGCTCCAGACGCACCACATCCTAGCTCTCGTATATTGTGTTCCTGCATGAAGCACAATGGATTTTTTTCCCCCTTAGTTTTCTAGGGGTATTATTTGTAATAGCTAAAATTTTTATCTTTATTTAATTTTATTTTTTTATTGTTGATATATTACAGATGTCCCCCTTTTTTCCCCATTGACCCCCTCCTTCCCCCTCCGCCCCCCTGCCTTCCCCAGCCTAATGTCCATGTGGATTGGTTATAAGTTCTCTTCCCATCCCTCCCACCCCCATCCCTCTGAGTTTTTTCAGTCTGTTCCCTACTTCCATGATTCTGGATCTATTTTGGTCAGCAGCTTATGTTGTTCATTATGTTGCACAAATAGTGAGATCATGTGGCACTTGTCTTTCTCTGGCTTATTTCGCTTTATAGCTAGAATTTTTAAAAGAATGATTTAAATATCATGGCTAATTTTAATACATCAGTTTTTATTGTACCTTTTCTTTGAAGTGAAAGACCTCTCCTAAAACCCTTTGGTAGTAACAATTTAAAAATTAAATAATTGTACCATAGTTAATGTCTTTAAAAACCACACTGGATTTTTCTCAGATTCCAGGAAGAAAAGGAAAAGTGGATATTTGTGTTTTAAATCCAAAGTGTATCACTATTAGTGAACTATATGGACATCTGGATCCTAATACTATGGAATGGACCGACGGATTACTATCAGCAGCAGTTCGAAGTTTTGTACAGTTTAACACTACAATGAATTCAAAGAAAGATAATGATCTTAAACTAAGGTCAAGACTCTCAGATTTATCTAATGTAAGTTCAGTATGGAATGATTACTTTTATTTGACTATTGTGGAGTATTTCATTATTTATCTAAAGACTGATATTAAAGCATTATTAAATACTTGCTAGTGTAAAAGTAAATTTAAAAATTATGATCAGTTAAGAGAAAAATTAAGTTATAAAAAAGAACAGTCTATCCCATTGTGTTTTCAAATGGTCAGTAAACAGTAACATGAGGTCGAAGATGCTTGGTTTTAAAGGAATACAAACTAGATTAAGAGTTGATTCGGATACCGCCAATATAGCTTACAAATTACTGAAGTACAAAAATACTTTAAGAGAAAAATGAATAAAGTATTTGATATAAAATTCATCTAAGAATAAATATGAATAGCAAAAATATTTGAAAAGTTATAGTCTCATGAGTAATAAGTAGAGATTACTAGTGTATTTCATCAGCTAAAGCATATTAACTAAAAGATATTTGGAACCAAACAGATTAGCAAGGATGTTTTTCAATTAAATTTATTGGGGTAATTGGATAATAGGATCATTAGGATTCAAGTGTACATTCCTATGGTACATGATCTGTATATTGCACTGTGTGCCTACCACCCAAAGTCAAGTAATCTGTCACCATAAATTTGTTCCCTTTTGTCCCCCTTCCCTCTGTAACCACCCTACTGTTGTCTGTGTCTATGAGTTTCTGTTTTATATCCCGCATATGAGTGAAATCATATAGTTCTCAGCTTTTCTTGACTGACTTATTTCGTTCAGCACAATACTCTCAAAGTCCATCCACATTGTTGCAAATGGCAGCATTTCATCCTTTTTTAGGGTTCAGTAGTATTCCATTATATATCTGTGCCACATCTTCTTTATCCAGTCCTCTGCCAAAAGCCACTTGGGTTGTTTCCATGTCTTGGCCACCAAGAATAATGCTGCAGTGAATGTAAGGGTGCATATATCTTGCAAAGATTTTTTTTTTATCCTCACCCAAAGACATTTTTCCATTTTTTGTTCAGATAGAGTAGGAGGAAGAGAGAGAGAAAAACATCAACATGAAAGGAACACATCGAGTGGCTGCCACCCACACCACCAACCAGGGCCAGGGACAAACTGCAACCGAGGTACATGCCCTTAGGTGGTATCGAACCTGGGACTTTTTGGACCGTACGCCAATGTTCTAACCGCTGAGCCAAACAGGTCAGGGCTTGCAAAAAATTTTTTAAAATAGGAAAATAATATTCCATAATTACAAGGTTGTGAAATAGACATTCATACATGTCTAGGGATAATTTGGGGAATACATACTGAGATTTTTAATTTATTTTTTTCTATCATCATGTATCCTCCCCTGTACCCTCGTTCAACTAGATTTTTTTTTTTTTACTTAGAAATCTACTTCCTAAAAAATTTATTGGATCACTGCTATTTTTATATTGATATGAAAGTGTTTTCTGTGTTCAAATTTGTCATTGGTGCTATACTTATTTTCCACAGTCCACAGAAATAAGTTTATCAGTATATTCTTATGTAGATTCAAACTTTTCGGTCATACCTTTCTCTAGCCTAAGATTATTCTGCTATATTGATTGTTATTCAACAGAAAGATATAAAAACCACTTTCAAATATTTAGTGTGTGTGACTTATTTTGGTGTAAATTATTAACTTAATTTTCCCAAATGGAAAATTATTTTGACACATGAATAATTTATTTCTTTCCCACTAATATATAAAATAATAAAAACCCATATGTACATATAGAGTTTTCTACCTTCTTTATTCTGCCTCTCAGTTTAAATAGCAGAATGACACAATTTTAATTAATGTTGCTTTAGAATAGGTTTTAACATTTAGAAGAAGCAGGCCTCGCCTTTAGTGTTCTCGTTCAGAATTTATTTTACACTCTTCTACAGTTCATGTTAGATTTCTTCTTCAATGCAGGAGTTGTTTAAGAAAGATTTTTTAAAGGTTTCCAGGAAGTAGTATATGTTGTTGCAGTCTTTATTAAGTTTTAGTTTTATTTCATTGTGATTAGAGAATATTATCTCTAATGTGTGCTTTTTCATCCTGGCCAGTTTGGCTCAGCGGTTAGAGCGTCGGCCTGCGGTCCAGAGAGACCCGGGTTCGGTTCCCACTAAGGGCATGTACCTTGGTTGCAGTTTGTCCCTGGCCCTGGTTGTGTCGTGTGGGTGGCAGCCACTCGATGTGTCCCGTCGATGTTTTTCTCTCTTCCTCTCTCTCCCTCCCACTCTGTCTGAACAAAAAAATGGAAAAAATGTCCTCAGGTGAGGATAAAAAAAAAGTGTGTTTTTTTTCAAATGCTTTATTTTTAGATTTAGTTTGTAGCCTAATATATGTTTAATTTTTAGAATTTTCTGTAGACCCATGAAAAGAAGACTATTTTTTGTTTTCAGGTAAAAGATATAGGTATAGATGAACCAATTAGACCTACGTTATTGAGTTATTTAGGTCTTTTGTACTCAATTATTTTTCTTTACTTCATCTACCATTACTGAGAGAGATGAATTACTCTTCTGTGAATCTTCTTATCATTTACTTTTTCTGTTTACTGTTGCTTTTAATGTATGCTATTTTGTAAATATTTATGACAGATCTTCATTTCAGATTGTTTCTTTTCTCTTTATAAAATCTTAAGTGTGCGCATCGATCAGAATCTCTCAGGGATTGGTGTGAAAATAACCTGTATTATGTTCATCTGGGGAGCATGTTAAAAATTGGAATTCTGCCCTGGCCGATTTGGCTCAGCAGTTGGAGCAGCGGCCGCAGACCAAAGATTTGCGGGTTCGATTCCGGTCAAGGGCACGTACCTCGGTTGTGGTTCAGTCCTCGCCCCGGTTGGGGTCGTGCAGGAGCCAACCACTTGATGTGTCTCTCTCACATCGATGTTTCTCTCTCTCCCCCTCTCTCCCTCCCGCTTTATCTGAAGATAAATGCAAAAATATCATCGGGTAAGGATTACAAAAAAAAATTGGAATGCTGAGCTCCATTCCAAACGTATTTAATCAGAATTACCAAGGATGAGGGTTAGAATCTGCAATTTAACGACCCTGCAGGTAATTCTTATGTAGCCTAAAATTTTATTTTATTTATTTATTTATTTTTATCCTCACCCGAGGACATTTTTGCATTTATCTTCAGATAGAGTGGGAGGGGAAGAAGAAGAGAGAGAGAAAAACATCGATGTGAGAGAGACACATTAAGTGGCTGCTACCCACATGGCCCCCTTGGGGCCGGGAACAAACCGCAACCGAGGTACGTGCCCTTAGCAGGAACCGAACCCGGGACTCTCTGGTCTGCGGGCTGATGCTCTAACCGCTGAGCCAAATGGATGGCTAGGGCTAACCTAAAATTTTAAAACTCTATTGTGAAAAAGTCTAGGAAAACTATACACTAAAATGTCAACTGTGATTTTTTTTTAATGGATGGTGGAAATTCAGAGAACTTTTGCATTCTTCTTTGTGTTTTGCTGTATTACTTGAATATTTTATTACAAGTATGTATTATCTTTCTGGGGCAAAAACTGAAAAGTTTTTTAAAAGAAAATGACCTGTCATCACAGTTGAGTCACATTATAAAGTGGTGGTTAGATGTTGGTCTTCTCCGCTACAGAACCTTCTGCCTTTTATACTTTATCACAAAAGAAAGTGTATTGACATATAGTCCATCTTAATTGGAAAGTGTGATCAAATAAAAATTTAAATATTATTGATTACTTATTTTAGGTTTTCCAACTTGATTCCTCTAATACAGCAGATATTGATGATGATATTTTTAAGGAGCTGATGAAGGAAGATAAAATTACAGAAAGTGAAAGTAAGTATTGTATTAAATTTAATAAAGATGATTGACATAAAAGATAAACTGAACCAATCTGAGTTTTGTTTTTTATTTTTAGAACATTTTTGATTTGTGATATTTTGTCTTTGTACTGTTTATTTTTTTCTCGTGTGCTTATTTAAAACCTGTATAATTTTACCATGTCAATCACAGTACATGCATATATAATTATGTTATATAAGTACTAGGGCAAACTACAGTAGTGTTGCTTCTGGAGCCAGACTCCATACAGTCTGTACATTCCCAGGTCAGATTCTGTGACCCAAGCACAGTCATCTAAACTGAATTGTATACCCACCATGTGCCACTGTGCCATGTGCCGGGGGACCGAGATGTCTAGGACAAGGTCCGGGTCCCGGAGGAGCCGGCAGTCTGCTGCAGGACCCAACCCTGCTCCCACTGCCCCGGCGAGCCTCGGACCCGCACTCCCTGCCGTGGGCCACCTATGTTCCAGACTTTGAAAGAGACCTCCGCTGTCGCGTCTATGTTCTTAGAATTCCTAAGTTTTTGTGTGTTACTTTTTTTTTTTTTTTTTCCTCACCCGAGGACATTTTCCCATTTTTTTGTTCAGGTAGAGTGGGAGGGAGAGAGAGGAACAGAGAGAGAGAGAGAAACATCGATGTGAAAGGAACACATCGAGCGGCTGCCACCCACACGACCGACCAGGGCCGGGGACAAACTGCAACCGAGGTACGTGCCCTTAGCGGGAACCGAACCCCGGTCTCTCAGGACTGCAGGTCGACTCTCTAACCGCTGAGCCAAACCGGCCAGGGCATTGTGTGTTACTTTTTGATACTCAGTTTGGGAGGGTACCGTGATTGGGCATAATGCATTTCCTTCTTAGGGTTTTAAGAAAATCCCCAAGGCAGGCATCTCAGCCCCTGAGAGCCATCTTAGCAGTGGTGGTATCTGGATCCTTCCTCTACTCTCCGATTCTTCTGGGATATTTTTGTTGTTGTGAATCCTCACCCAAGGATATATTTCCATTGAGTTTTAGAGTGGAAGGGAGGGAGGGAGAAACATCGATGTGAAAGAGACACATCAACCGCTGCCTCCCACGACCCTTCAGTCCAAGGGCCGATGCTCTAACCACGGAGCAAACCAGCCAGGGCTCTTACTGTCTTTTAAGTGGCTAACTACTCTGTCTCCATAGTTTCCCATTCATAACTCCCCTATCCTGACCAATAGATGTTCTAAAAATAGGGAACAAGGGGATAGTCGAGTGGAAAGAGCAGCACATGGGTTCCCAGCGTGAAATACTGTAAAATCGATCCATCTGATTCTCTCCTCAAAGAGCAGCTGTTGCCCTTTCCTGTTTCCCAGAAGCAGTTTATCCAGAAACTTCGTGGGTGGAGGGCCCCCGAACCATATTGTGGGAAAGATAGATCCATGGCTCTGTCACTTATCCAAATTTTAAAGACTAATTATACAATTCGGCTGTCTAAGGATATTGAAACAGTGTTTATAACATTAAGCATATGGTATGAATGTTTATTCATATTTAATAGACATGAGAGACTACACATAAACACATTTCCTCTCGTGTTTTCTGGGATATCACTTCTCATCTTAATTAGAAAGTATTTTCTAAATGAAATAGAAGATGTGCTAGATTGTAATGAAAGCAGACTGAGATTATGCTCAACTACATTAAAACTATGTTTCTCTGCAGAGTTCGATTGGCAGTGGGTTGTCTTAGATGGTCCAGTGGACACCTGTTGGGTAGAAAGCCTAAATTCTATGCTCGATGACTCTAGAACACTGTGCCTAGCGAACAGTGAGAGAATAGCTTTAACTAACAAAGTAAGAGTGATTTTTGAAGTGGACAGTCTCTCTCAGGCCAGTCCTGCTACTGTCAGCCGATGTGCAATGGTCTATATGGTAAGTTTTCAAAATCGAATTCCTTGATAAAGAAAATGTGTTGTTTAAGATAATAACAGTCATCATCTTTTTTTAATTGTTTTATTTTTTTATCCCCACCCGAGGACATTTTTTCATTTTTTGTTCAGGTAGAGTGGGAGCGAGAGAGAGGAACAGAGAGAGAGAGAAACATCGATGTGAAAGGGACACATCGAGTGGTCGCCACCCTCACAGCCAACCAGGGCCGGGGACAAACTGCAACCGAGGTACATGCCCTTAGCGGGAACCGAACCTGGGTCTCTCTGAACCACAGGCCGATGCTCTAACTGCTGAGCCAAACCGGCCAGGGCTCATCTTCTTTTTATGCGTGTGATCGCAGCAGTTAAAAGTTTTGTGTCCCCTAAAGGCTCCTCGCCCAGAAGTGAATAGGAATGTAATCACTGCTCCGTAACTGGAATGTCGGTATTTGCACAGCAGTGAGTAGTGCACAGGTTAGGCTGCTGGTATGATTCTTCCAATAGAGGGAAGACTGCCCCGAAGCCTTTGCCATGGCTCCTGGAACTTGTGAAGCACATTACCCAAGGGAGTGGGGAAGAGGGAGAAGACACAACGAAGGAGTGTTTTCTGTGTAGGAATTCATGATTAGCCACTGGTGGCCCTGTGTTCTAATCCACTTAACTCAATGAATAATGGCACGTACAGTGCAGATTTTCTGGGTAAGCAGTTCCTCTGACCACATGCACAAAAACCCCAACGCCTCTCTCTACACACAGTCCCCAAAATGCTTGTTGACTTGTAGGACCGTCGTTAAAAATCACAGATATTTCAGAGAAGGGTAATTCTTTACGCTTTGTTGATCACTTGCCCTTTAATGAATGATGATTCTAAACCATACTTAGCAGTGGTGAATTAAAAAGACAGTAAGAGCCCTGGCCAGTTTGGTTCAGCGGTTAGAGCGTCAGCCTGCGGTCCGGAGAGACCCGGGTTCGGTTCCCGCTAAGGGCACGTACTTCGGTTGCAGTTTGTCCCCGGCCCTGGTTGGTCGTGCGGGTGGCAGCCACTCGATGTGTCCCTTCACATCGATGTTTCTCTCTCTCTCTCTCCCTTCCTCTCTCTCCCTCCCACTCTATCTGTACAAAAAATGGAAAAATATCCTCGGGTGAGGATAAAAAAAAAAAAAGACAGTAAGAGAGTAGGTGGACACTGTGTTTATACATATTTACATAAAATTATCTTGTGCTTTTTATTGTTAGGATCCGGTTGATCTGGGATGGGAGCCTTATGTTAAGTCATGGCTTTTGAAAACTTCTCAAATTATGAGTCAAGTAGGAGTGGATTGTCTTGAATTCTTAATTAAAAATAGTGTCAAACATGGACTACAATTTATAAAGCAACACCAGAAATTTCAGCCATTTCCTGTACAAGACATAACGATCGTTATAACTCTCTGCAGAATCCTTGATGCTTTCTTTGAATTCATGGATAAAAATGGAGGCTTTGGACAATGTGAGTTTTTCCTCCCTAAGTCATACTAATGATATTATATGTTAGCTAGTCAATGCCAGTTATTTATCACCTTTAATTAGATTTTATAAAAGAAGGCCAGGATTTTTCAGCCTACCTGAATCGAAAGCAGCCATGGACATGGAACAAACTAAAAATAATTTATAGAGGAGCATATCAATAAAGTCAATTTGTATAATACATAAATGTTGATGGATCACAAGGGAAATGAGTCTAAAGAATCCTTAGACAATATCTTAGGAAAGAATGTTTTTGCTAAACTTTTTCCTTGGAGAGATAAATAGTGGGGAAAATCTGTTCTGAATCCTGGGTGTAAACTGTAATCACACGAAGGCATAAACATGGAAAGTGGTAACACATCCTGGCAATCAGAAGGTTAAGAAAACAGTACAACTTTATGGCTAGAGGCATGGTCTCTGCTTTCAAACACTGCTTCTGTCGGGTTACCGATGAGATGCCTAAAAGGTCTGAGCCGGCGGGAAGTCACATCCACCACCAAGGCCAGTGTAGAGCCAAAGGGCTTTATTGCGTACGCCTGGGTGCAGCCGGGCTGACTCCTTAAAAGAACCCAGCCTCGAAATCTCTTTGTGCTCTGGTTTTCATAGGCCCAAACCACAGAAACTAAAAAAACTACATTAAAAAATGCCCTGGCCAGTTTGGCTCAGCAGTTGGAGCGTTGGCTTGCAGTCCAGAGAGGCCCAGGTTCAGTTCCCGCTAAGGGCACGTACCTCGGTTGCAGTTTGTCCCTGGCCCTGGTTGGTCGTGCGGGTGGCAGCCACTCAATGTGTCCCTTTCACATCAATGTTTCTCTTTCTCTCTCTTCCTCTCTCTCCCTCCCGCTCTATCTGAACAAAAAATAGAAAAATGTCCTCTGGTGAGGATTAAAACAACAACAACAACACACTCTCTTGGCACCACGTAATTGGTGTCAGGGCTGATACAACTGTCAGAGGTGAGGAGTCTGCTCCAGCAGAGGTCTGGGCCATCGTTAATCTCCTCCTTCTCCAAGTTTCCCAAGGCCGTCATTAACCCCTTACCTTCATGGTTCCTCTGGGTGCCAGTCCCGAGTTTTTCAGAAAACTGCTCGGGTGTTTATGTGCAGGAATAACTGATCAGAATGGAGTTTAACTTTGTTAAAACATTATTAACCCTTTCAATGGCAAATCAGCACAGAATCCCAACTCTCTCCAAAACCTGATTTGAGATCCATGAAATGAACACATTTGGAGAAATCTGGGGGTGACCAGATGGTGCCAGTCCCAGTGCCGGGAAACAGCAACCCTGAGCAGGAAAGAGCTGGGTACCAGGAGTGGGGGAGATCATTTCAGTTTGCCCTCTCCCCTGCCCTCCTGTCTCTGAAGGGGCTGTCGCCTGTCCCTCTGCTGGCTGGCCACCACGGCACCGGTGGAGGCAGCGGCAGTCACCCTGTGCAACACGCAGAGAAGCCTGACTAGGTGAGCGAGCAGGTAAAACTATTTCCTCCTCCTGCCCGCCCCCTTCACATATTACAGCCGAGATGATGGAGGGGGAGAGACCACAGGAAGATGAGTGGTGTCAGGGTGGATATTGTCAACTCCCTCCCCAGAGGCCCGTCTCTGAATTCATCAGAAGTGCAAGCCAGGAAACGGGAGCACTGGAAACAAAGCCAGAAGTAGTTAAAAGATATAACTGGAGGTTAGGACAGACAAGAAATTAATAAGGTAAAGAACACAATATATGGGTTGAATGCTGCCTGGCTTGGTTTCCTGGATAACAAATCAGCGAGAGCTAGAATAGTCGGGGACTCTCCCAGAGTACATCAGGAAGTGTTGAAGAGATGAAATATGTAAATTTAAATATAGTTGTCTGTGTAATACATACATGTTTGTGTATGTGTGTGCATATAGTTGAAAGATGAGTAGAAGTTGAAAGGTTAGTATCCATATAAGGGGATCTCCAGAAATGCTAAAAATAAATAAATACAGGGGAAGAAATATTTAAAGAATAATTACCAAGAACTTCATAGAATGAGAGACAACGTAGGACCCAAGATTGAATCGGATCCCAGAGAAACAGGGTAGAACAGTAAAACCCACGCTGGAAATACTATGTTGCTATATTGTCCCACAGCTGTTGCGTGCTCTGGAATTTTTGTTTGGTGGGGTTTTGTTTGTTTTATTATTTTCCTTTTTGGTGTTTTAGTTTGGATAATGTTTGCCGGTTTATATTCAAGTCACCGATTCTGTTCTCTGCTACAGTCAGTCTACTGTATAAGCCCATTGACTGCTCTTGTCTCTGCGATGGTAGTTTTTATTTCTAGCATTTCCACCACTGACTGTAGTTTTCATTTATCTGCTGAAATTCTCTGGTCATTACTGATTTCTGCTTTTACATTAGGTCCTTTAGCAGTTTGATCAAAGCTATTTTAAATTCCCAACATCTGGGCCATCTCTGGATCTGTTTTATTAACTGCTTTATTTCTTGGGAACAAGATTCTTTTTTTTTTTTGCTTATTTGTATGTATCAGAATTTTTTACTGAATGTCGGATACTGTGCATAAAGGAACAATAGAGAAAGGTGTATAGGGCGCACCTTTTCTTCTACCAGATTGTTGCGTTCGTGGTGGGGACGGTTGCGTCAGTACTGACCAGGATTTAGCTTTTACTGTTACTATAGTTACCTTCAGTGCACCACAGACTTCAACTTCTATTTTATTCTCATGGTTTTCCTTTTACTTTTTTAATCATATAAACACATTTGTTTTCTATTCTCTTTCAGATTCATTTTCCCAATTTTGAATTTTATTTACGGGGAAATCTCAGAGCTGTGTAAATTTGGAGTACATATTTTGCACATGATATAAACCTGAGGTTTTATTTCTTATAGCACACTTTTATCTTCCAGAAATCTAGGCAGATAAAAGTTCCCTTGTAGCTTTCCTGGGCTGACAGCCCCAATTTTCCTAGTCCCCTTTCCATTGGGAAACCCTTTCAGGGCCCAAGGTTTATTCGGGGATCTAATCCAGATATCGTCCTCTTACTGCACAAAGGTCGTTCTCCTGGCACGGTCGTAAGAACCTGACTCTGGCTGTCAGAGCTTACACTTGGTGACAGACTCCCAGGGCGCTGTGGTGTGTGTTCGTGCATTTACCTTCCTCTCTGTGACTTCCTTCTTTGCTTCTGATTCTGAAGGATCTTCCTTTCTTTTTTCTTTTTCCAGCTGTGGTTTGTTGTTATCCCATAAAGTATTGCTCTCACATCATACTCTTTTAATTACCACAGCTAGAATGTGCTGAAAGGTAAACTCTCACAGAAGGTATTCAAGGTATAAATTGATTCAGCTTTTCTTGGTGATCCACTTGGTAACATTTGCTAAAAATATCCATATACTCTAGTATTTATTCTAGAAATTAATTATAAAGAAATAGTCACAGAAGTGTACAGATTTAGCACAAGGAGCTTTATAACAAATATTTATAACCATAAAAACAGCAATAATCTGAATTCCAACAATAAGACTGGATGCATAAATTATATTGCAACAATGTCATGTTTCAATGAAAAGACATTAAGATAGAATTAAAAAGCAGAATGAGAATGAACATCTAGTTTTTTATTCAAGTTTACATTTTTAAATATTCTAGCTTTAATATTTAAATAGTATGTATTTATATAAAAGACCATAATAAAATGGATCGATATTTAATAATTATTATCTGTGGGGGATGGAATTATGGGTGATTATTATTTTCTTCAGTATACTTTTCATTTCTACCTGTTTTACAAGAATCCTGTGTTGTTGTTGTTGTTGTTGTTGTTATTTTAATCCTCACCTGAGGACATACTTAGAGGAAGAGAGAGAGCAAGAGAAACATTGATGTGAGAGAGAAACTTCGATCAGTTGCCTTCTGTATGCTCCCCAACCAGGGATCAAACCCACAACCCAGGAATGAACTGGAAACCTTCCAGTGCACAGGATGATGCTCAACCAACTGAGCCACTCTGGCGGGACTCTGTGTTATTTTAACATAAAACATGATTTAAAAAATTAGCTAAAAGGAAGAATGAATAACCATTCATTCTTTGTGTTCCTCTGTGGAATGGATGACTTGGACAAAAAAGGTGGGTGATGGTATTAGGAGAGAGACAGTTACAACCTGCCTACAGTGTAACTGTTCGCTGTTTGTTTTGATACATTTCTTATTTGAAAGTATACAGGTTTCTTTAATGCTTCACTTTATTAAGACCAATTTATTATTTAGTTTGCAATGTGTACCATATTTGGAAGTAGTCATCTGAACATTTTTACGTTTTCATTTTGAACAATAAAATTTACAAAAAAATTACCAGAGTAGAATAAAGAACAAAAGTATGCAGATTTGTGCTTCAGGTAAATAAGGATTGATTCAGACAATTGCAGGTACATTCTCTGCTTCTCTTTTCTTAGAAAAGTAACCCCTACTTTGGCCAGGTAAGGTAACTCTAAGATACCGTATATACTGATGATTCACAAACTAAACAATGTTAAAAGTTAAACCTCACGAATTAGCTAAATTTTAAGTCTGTTAATTGTGGAAAATATTCTTTCCTTTTTAAGGTGAAGATTTGAAGAACATTTCAACTAAGAAAAGTTTTCCATATTCAAAAGTTTCTCTTAGATTCAAGACTATAGCAAAGAGGTCAGTTTTATTCAACAGCCATGGTTTAGTACGTGCTAGGTACCACACGCTCAAATAGGCACAAAATTACTTGTCAATAAACCAATACTTTTATGACTTCAAAACATCAAAATCCACTTAAACTTATTTTATTCTGCATAGATCGCATCTTGTATATCTAATATAAGATATTTGAAAGGATACAGGTTTATTTAATGTTTCACTTTCTGTAAGATCAATTTATTATTTAGTTTGCAATGTATACCATATTTGGAGGTAGTCACCTGAATGTTTTTATGTTTTCATTTTGGAACAATAAAACTTACAAAAAGGTTCTATCTAATACAAGATTACCAGGTTTTATTTTATACACACACACACTATATATGTTATATAAATAATAGGAATACATTTTTCCTAGACTGCACATATTTGAGAAATAAAAGTGACATGAAAATATTTTATGAATCTGCTACTTATGAGCTGAGAAACATTGAACCAGTTACTAATTACTATTATTTTTTATTTTAAATGAAACAGTGCTTTAACTTTATTTTTATTTTTATTTATTTATTTATTTAATTGTTGAAAATATTACAGATGTCCTATTTTCCCCATTGACCCCCTCCTTCCTGCTCCCATCTCTCTCCTGCCTTCCCCAACCTGGTGTCCTTGTCGATTGGTTGTGCAAATATGCAGATAAGTTCTCTTCCTTCTCCTCCCACCCTCCATCCCTCTGAGGTTTGTCAGTCTGTTCCCTACTTCCATGATTCTGGATTTCTTTTGGTCGACATCTTATTTTGTTCATTATGTCCCACAAATAAGTGAGATCATGTGGTACTTGTCTTTCTCTGACTGGCTTATTTTGCTTAGCATAATACTCTCCAGGTCACTTCATGTTGTCTCAAAGGGTAAGAGATCTCTCTTTCTTACAGCTGCATAGTACTCCATTGTGTATATGTACCACAGCTTTTTTATCCATTCATCTACTGATGGGCACTTGGGCTGTTTCCAGATCTTAGCAATTGTAAATAGCGCTGCTATGAACATAGGGATACATATATTCTTCCTGATTGGTGTTTCAGTTTCTTAGGATATATTCCAAGAAGTAGGATCACTGGGTCAAATGGCAGTTCCATTTTTAATTTTTTGAAACACCATATTGTTCTCCATAGTGGCTGCAGCAGTCTGCATTTCCACCACTAGTGTGCTAGGGTACCCTTTTCTCCACATCCTCGCCAGCATTTGTTGTTTGATGATTTGTTGATGACCACCATTCTGGTAGGTGTGAGGTGATATCTCATGGTCATTTTAATTTGCATCTCTCTGATGATTGGAGATGGTGAGCATTTTTTCATAGGTCTCCTGGCCTTTTGTATGTCCTGTTTAGAGAAGTGTCTATTCAGGTCCTCCACCCATTTTTTAATTGGATTGTTTGTCTTCCTTTTGTTGAGTTGTATGAGTACTCTATATATTTTGGATATTAGCCCCCTAGCCAATGTATCATTGGCAAATATGTTCTTCCAGAGAGTGGGTTCTCTTTTGATCTTGATGCTGGTTTCTTTTGCTGTGCAGAAGCTTTTTAGTTTGATGTAGTCCCATTTATTAATTTTTTCCTTTGTTTCTTTTGCCCTAGGTGATGTATCATCAGTGAAAATTCCACTACATGTGATGTCTAAGTTGTTTTTGTTTTTTTGTTGTTGTTTTTCCTACATTTTCTTCTAGGATATTTATGGTTTTACAGGTTACATTTAAGTCTTTTATCCATTTTGAGTTTATTCTTGTGTATGGTGTAAGTTGTGGTCTAGTTTCCTGGCACCATTTATTGAAGAGACTGTCTTTTTTCCATTGTATGCTCTTGCCACCTTTGTCAAATATTAATTGTGCATACTGTCTTGGGTCCATATCTGGGTTCTCTGTTCTGTTACATTGATCTATATGTCTGTTTCTGTGCCAGCCAGTACCAGGCTATTTTTATTATGATTGCTTTATAGTATAACTTGATATCTGGTATTGTGATCCCTCTCACTTTGTTCTTCTTTTTCAAAATTGCTGTGGCTATTCGGATCTTTTATGGTTCCATATAAACTTTGGAGTGTTTGTTCTAGCTCTGTGAAATATGCTACTGGTACTTTAATATGGATTGCACTGAATCTCTAGATTGCTTTGGGTAGTATGGACATTTCAATGATGTTGATTTGTCTGATCCATGAACATGATATATGTTTCCACTTTTTTATATCTTCTATTTCTTTTTCAATGTCCTGTAATTTTCTAAGAACAGGTCTTTTAGCTCCTTGGTTAAGTTTATTCCTAGGTATTTTTTGTTGTTGTTGTTGCAGTGGTAAATGGGATATTTTTTGTTTGTTTCCCTTTTTGAGTGTTCATTATTGGTGTATAAAAATGCCATCAATTTCTGGATGTTAATTTTGTATTCTGCTACTTTGTCAAATTCATTTATTACATCTAGTAAATTTTTGATGGAATATTTAGGGTTTTCTTTGTACAGTATCATGTTGTCAGTGAATAGTGACAGTTTCACTTCTTCTTTTCTAATTTGGATCTCTTTTTTTTTTTTTCATGTGTAATTGCTTTGGCTAGGACTTCCAGTACTATGTTAAATAAGAGTGGTTAAGGTGGGCATCCCTGTGTTGTTCCTGTTCTTAAGGGAAATGCTTTTCGTTTTTGCCCATTGAGTGTGGTGTTGGCTGTAGGTTTTTTATATATGGTCTTTATGTTGAGATATGGCCCCTCTATTCCCACATTGCTGAACGTTTTTATCAGAAATGGGTGCTGGATTTTGTCAAATGTTTTTTCAGCATCTACTGATATGATTATATGGTTTTTATCTTTCATTTTGTTTATGTGGTGTACCACATTTATTGACTTGCAATTATTGTACCAGCCTTGCATCTCTGGGAGTAATCCCACTTGGTCATGGTGAATAATTTTTTTTAATATATTGCTGGATCTGATTTACTGATATTTTGTTAAGATTTTGGCATTTATGTTCATCAGGGATGTTGGCCTGTAGTTTTCTTTCTTTGTAGTGTCTTTATCTGGTTTGGGAATTAGAATTATGCTGGCCTCATAGAACAAGTTTGGAATTCTTCCTTTTTGAATTTTTTGGAATAGTTTGAGGAAAGTGGGTGTTAGTTCTTTGAATGTTTGGTGAAACTCCTTGTGAAGCCATCTGGGCCCGGGGTTTTGTTTGCTGAGAGTTTATTGATTACATCTTCAGTTTCCTTCATTGTTATTGGTCTGCTCAAGTTTTCTGTCTCTTCCCAGTTCAGTTTTGGGAGACTGTGTGATTTTAGAAATTTGTCCATTTTGCCTACATTGTCCAATTTGTTGGCAGATAATAGTTCATGGTATTTTTAAACAATCCTTTGTATTTCTGTGGTGTTAATTGTTATTTCTCCTCTTTAGTTTCTGATTTTGTTTATTTGGGTCCTCTGTCTTTGTTTCTGGGTGAGTCTGGCTACAAGTTCATCAATCTTGTTTATCTTTTCAAAGAACTAGCTCTTTGTTTCATTGATCTTTTTCTGTTTTTTTGTTTTGTTTTGTTTTGTTTTTAGTCTCTGTGTTGTTTATTTCTGCTCTGACCTTTACTATTTCTTTCCTTCTGCTCTGGGTGTTTCTTTTTGTTTACTTTTTAGTCCTTTAAGTTGTAGGGTTGGATAGTCAATTAGAAATTTTTCTTGTTTCTTCAGGGTGGCCTGTAGGGCTATGAAATATTCTCTCAGGACTGCTTTTGCTGCATCCTGGAGATTTTTGTGTTGCTGTGTGTTCATTTTCATTGGTTTCCAAGAAGTTTTTAATTTCTTCCTTGATTTCCTTGGTAATCCATTCGTTGTTTAATAACATGCTATTTAGTCTCCATGTGTTTGAATATTTTTGAGTGTTTTTATTGTAATTGATTTCTAGTTTCATGCCACTGTGATCTGAAAATATGCTTGATATGAGTTCAGTCTTCTTGAACTTGTAGAGACTTAGTTTGTGTTCTAACATGTGGTCTATCTTTGAGAATGTTCCATGTGCACTTGAGAAGAATGTGAATTCTGAAGTTTGGGGGTGTAATTCTATGTGGATATCTATTAAATCTATTTGATCTGGTGCATCATTTAGAGTCTCTGTTTCCTTGTTAATTTTTTGTCCAGAGGATCTATCTAGTGATGTCAGCGGGGTGTTAAAGTCCTCTAATATGATTTTACTGTTGTCAATTTCTCCTTTGAAGTCCTCCAGAAGTTTTAAAGTATATTTTGGTGCTCCTATATTGGGTGCATATATGTTGACCAAGGTTATATCCTCATGTTGGATAGATCCTTTCAATATTATTCAGTGGTCTTCTTTGTCTCTAGTTATGGCCTTCATTTTGAACTCTAGTTTATCAGATATGAGTATTGGTACTCCAATTTTTTTTCCCTTTTCATTTGCTTAGAAAATTTTTTTTCATCCTTTCACTTTCAACCTATATGAGTCTTTTCTTGTGAGGTGGGTCTCTTACAAGCAACATATATATATGAATCATGCTTTCTTATTCTTTCAGCTACTCTGTGTCTTGATTGGAGTGTTTAATCCCATTTACATTTAGGGTTATTGTTGATAAGTACTTACTTATTGCCATTTTTATTTATTATGGTTATGTTTCTCTTTCTATTCTGCTTATTACAAGAGTCCTTTTAACATTTCTAGTAGTGCTGGTTTGGTGTTAATATATTCCCTTAGTTTGTTTGTTTGTTTGTTTGTCTGGGAAGCTCTTTATTTCACCTTCTATTTTGAATGATACCTTTGCTGCATAGAGTAGTCTTGGATTTAGATCCTTGTTTTTCAGTACTTTGAATACTTCATGCCATTCCCTTCTGGCCTGTAGTGTTTCTGTTGAGAAAGCCTTATTGGGGCTCCTTTGTAGGTAACCTGTTGCTTATTTCTTACTGCCTTTAGGAATCTCTTTGTCTTTAATTTTTCACATTTTAATTATGATGTGTCTTAGTGTGGGTCTCTTTGGGTTATTCTTACTTGGGGCTCTCTGTGCTTCTTGAGCTTATGTGCCTTTTTCCTTCATCAAGTTAGAGAAGTTTTCTATCACTATTTCTTCAAATACATTCTCCAACCCTTGCTTATTTTCTTCTTCTTTTTGAACTCCTGTGATGCAGATGTTGTTGTGTGTCATGTTGTCTTACAGTTCTCTTAAGCTGTCCTCCTGGTTTTTTTCCTTTTTGGTTCTCTGATAGGGTGATTTTTTTTCTACCCTGTCTTCTAATTCACTGGTCCAGTCCTCAGCTTCCTCTACTCTGCTGGTCATTCCTTCCAGAGTGTTCTTTATTTCTGCTGTGTCATTCTTTATTTCCGCTTGGTGGGTTTTCATCTCCAATTGGTTGATATTTATTGTTACTCATGCTGTTGAGCTTCCTCATAATCATTACTCTGAACTCTACCTCTGATAACTTGCTTAATTCCATTATTTTATTCCTTCTTCTGTAGAATTCTCTTGTTCTTTCATTTGGGGTTTGTTTTTCTATTTGATTGTCTTAGTGGGTTTTGGAGCCTGCGAAATTTTCCTTATCAGTGTTGGTGTTCTGCTAATTGTGGCTCCTGCTACTGTGTTTGGATGACTGTGGGAGGACCCACGTTAAAAACCAATGTCAAGTCTTACTTTCCTGGGTAGATTCGCAGGCCAAGAAAAGATTCAGTTATCCTATAGTTTTTGCCTGCTGGCTATTAGTCTCAGTTACTTGATGAGCCTTGGGTTTTAGCCCTCAGCTGAATGAAAAATCCCTCAGGTGGACAGAGTAAGAGGATTTCTAGCAGGTGGGGCAATTGCTTTCCCCAGGGTTAAAGTTGCTTTGATAAGAAAGTGGTTTCTGCTGTGTGAATTGTTGGCTCAGTGAGGGGGTCCTGGTCTCCTACTAATTATTTTTGAGCTTTTATTTTCTCATTTAAAAAACTAGAATAATGTGTTGTGCTGGATATGTAGAATAGTGCCTGGTGCATAAGTGCTCAGTAAATTATAACTACAGAAATTACTAACTGGACAATTCTTCTGCCATTTGTAGAACAGTAGAGTTACTGTTGAGGCCCTCCTACATCTCACCCTGAGTCCCAAGACATTCATGTCACACTTGCTTTTGCTTTTAAATAATAAAACATTCTTAATATGGTTTTTATCTACCTGTTCACTCTACCTTCAAATTCATTCATTTGTATATATCTTGCTTATCAGCATTCTTCCCAGACCCTCATTATTTATTGCCTATACTGTTGTAATAATAGACTATAAATTGGTTTCCCTAATTCTTCCCATGTATCCTCAACCTGACAACCATATATTATTTTTTTAAATATATATTGTATTGATTTTTTAGAGAGAGAGGAAGGGAGAAAGACAGAAACATCTATGTGAGAGAGAAACATCAATTGGCTGCCTCCTGCATGCCCCCTACTGGGGATCAAGCCTGAAACCTGGGCATGTGCCCTGACCGGGAATCAAACCAGGACCTCTCAGTCCCTGGGACAACACTCAGTCCACTGAGCCATACCAGCTGGGCAACAACCATATATTATTTTTAATTTTAATTAAATAGTAAGTTGCCATAAAGGAATATTTATAAAATATGTGTAAGATAGAAATAACAATAACAAATATTCATATACTCATCATTTAGTTACAGAAAAGAACATATTAATTTATCTTTGAAATCCCCTGTATACCTAGATTTTATGGTATTCTATTATCTGAAATAACTACTATCCTGGGTTTTATGTTCTAATATATTCCCAAACAATATATTTTCAACTTTGTATGTTTTTAAACTTTAATGGAATCACTCTCTATGTTCTTCTGTCCTGCATTTTTGTTCAATGTTATGGCCCTACAACTAATCCATTTTCACTACTGAGTAATAGTTCATTGTATAAATATGTCACAGTTTATCCATTAATAAGTATATAGGATTGTTTGTTGTTTTCCATTTTTGTTATTACAAATACTACTGTAATGAATATGCTTGTACATACCTGCTGATATTTATATGCAAGAGTTTGATCTTTTAAAAAACAAATTAGAATGTTTCTTTTTATAGTCATTTAATGACTTCCCATTACACTCAAAATGAAGGACAAATGCCTTGATACAGCCTTAAAAGCCCCTTTCTACCTCTCCAGCATCATTTTCTAATATCTTCCACTAAGTATATATGAGCTTTTATGACACTGGTCTTTTTTTCTTTTTTATTCCTCAAACTAGCCATGATCCTTTGACCTCACAGTCTTGGCACATATATTCCTTCTTCTCAAATGCTCTTCCTCCCTACATTTTGACAAATCTCACTCATTCTTCTGATCTCAATTTAATTGTTGTTTCTTCAAAGAGGCCTTCCCTGATTCCCACAATCTAAATTAGTTATCTCTACTACTGTTCTGTAGTATGTTTGACTCTATTCTTTATTTTCTTGTCCTGGAAATAAGGGATCATGTTTGTTTTGTTTAGAGTAATGGATATATAGTCAGAATTCAATAAATATTTGCTGAATAAACTATTATATATAACTAGAAATTTCAAATAGAATCGTATATATGCATTGTACATTAATGATTGTCAATACATTTCAGTTCAGTGATATATTTTTAGGATTTTTAAATTTAGAAATGATTTTATGATAATGCTAACTCCTGAATTATTTTAAATGTCTTCAGGTCAGGCCCAAACCTTTTGCTCAGGCCCATCACCCTCAGCGTTTTCACTATAGTAGCTCAGGGTCCCAAAGACTAGAATGACCTGGGTTGACCCACACTGGAGAAGACTCTCCCCAGACTCACACTGCCTGGCTTCAGCCAGGTTGAACTAAGTCAACTCTAGGACTTGGTTAAAAGGAATACATAGTGAATGACTATTCTCTCGTGTCTTCCTACGAAAAATGGAGAATTATCAGGTCCTCTTCCAAAAGATAGGTAAACTGTCAGCTAATAAATTGACCTAAATTAAAGTGGATCATGTATACTAAATAAATAAAAGCTGACTACCAATCTCTTATACATATGTTACTTTAAAAATAAATAGTAGCAGTGTATAATTTACATGACTTAGTGGAGGACAGTTAGACATTAACTTTAAAATTTTATGTCAACACTTAACTGTTACAATTTTTAATAATGAAACTTGGATATAATTTTGAAATAAATTACTGAAAGCTTTCTAAAAATTTTAACCTTCCACATTATTCTACTCCAGGGCTACAAAAACATGGTATCTGGAGAAGTTTCCTGATAAATTAAAGACAGTGATTCAGAAGCTTTTCGTATTTGCGTTTACTTGGGCATTTGGAGGAACTTTAAAACGTGAAGACGAACATGAAGATGATATACTCTTTGATTCAAGTTTTGAACCTGATTCTCTTGCCAGAGTAACCTATGACTTTGATAACCTCGTTCATGAATTATTTGAAAACAATCCGCAAGTAGGTGAGTTCTGGGAAGAAAAAGTCATAATTATGCTTACTTTAGAATATAAACTTGAAACTCTGTATGATTGGGCTTATATTGATTAGGCCCATTTTTTTTTTTTTAATCCTCATTCAAGGATATCCATTGATTTTTAGATAGAGCGGGAGGGAGGGCGGGAGAGAGAAAAACATCAGTGTGAAAGAGACACATCAACTCGTTGCTTCCCACACAACCCCAACCAGCCGGGGATCGAACCTTTAACCGAAGTACATGCCCTTGACCAGGAATCGAAACCAAGACTCTTTAGTCCACGGGCCGACTCTCTAACCACTGGGCCCAACTGGCCAGGGCTAGGCCCATTTTCTAAAGTGTGAACGTTAAAGGTAAAAGACGGTTAATAAGTACACCCTTTCTTCAATGAAAGAGACTGAAGAACATTAGATTCCCGGTTGATTCTTGTTTCTACAAGAGGTGGCGACCCAAGTGAGCAGAACGAAGGTAAAGCCCAGAAACGATGCGCTCAGGCAAGCAGGCCGTGCTCCGTAGCTGGGCCCACGTGTACACAGCACCAGGGAGCAGAAACAGCAGTAGAAGGAGGTTGTACAGCTTCATATTTCTTTGTTAAAAAATGCTTTCTAAGATTTTCTAATAATATTTTTGAAATTATTTTAAAGCCTTAGATTTCTTTAGTATTTGTGCTTTTTGAAGCAGCTCTAAGTGGAATCTATCCTAATACTTACAAACAGTAAACCTTCCCAATTAGCTGTTACTGCTTAAAGAAACTTGGAACAGATAAGAGGCAAAACATTGAACATGAATGTATTTGTTCAGTAAAGATGAGAGCTAAAAATATTACCAAAAGTACAAATCCTACCAGTCTGTCTGATGTGACTTAAAGTATCAGTTTTGGTTATTTGTAAAAGTTCTACTTAAGACATCTGTGCTGCAAACTTTTTTTTTTTTTATCCTCACCTGAGGACATTTTTGCACTTATCCTCAGATACAACAGGGAGGAAGAGAGAAAGAGAAACATTGACGTGAGAGCGACACATCGAGTGGCTGCCACCCACACGACCCCAACCGGGGCCAGGGACAAACTGCAGCCGAGGTACGTGCCCTTAGCAGGAACTGAACCCGGGACTCTCTTGTCCGGGGCCGACGCTCCAACCACGGAGCCACACCGGCCAGGGCTGTGCTGCAAACTTTTCCATATTTCCTATGGAGGTTAACTTCTAATATCAGAGACATTTGGTATTTCTATACAATGGGATAGCATTCATTCATAACAAGGAAGGAAATCCTGCTGTTCCTACAGCAAGGTCCCCCCGAAGTGAAATAGGCAGACTGAGAAAGACAAATACTCGAGGATCTCACTTACATGTGGACTCTGAAAAGCCAGACTTAGAGAATGCAGTGGTGGCTGCCAGGAACTGGGGGCGGGGCAAAGAGGAGAGGGAGGCTGCAAACATCTTCCAGACGTAAGAGAAGTAAGCTCTGAGGATGCCACGTGCATCGGGGAGACTGTAAATAATAATGCTGTGTGTGTGTTTGAAAGTTCCTAAGAGAGTGGATCTTAAAAGTTCTCACAAACAGCCCTGGCCGGTTTGGCTCAGCGGTTGGTGTGTCAGCCTGTGGTCCAGAGAGACCCGGGTTCAGTTCCCGCTAAGGGCTCGTACCTCGGTTGCAGTTTGTCCCCGGCCCTGGTTGGTTGTGCGGGTGGCAGCCACTCGATGTGTCCCTTTCACGTCGGTGTTTCTCTCTCTCTCTTCCTCTCTTTTTCCTGCTCTATCTGAATGAAAAATGGAGAAATGTCCTCAGGTGAGGATTTAAAAAAAAAAAAAAAAAGTTCTCGCACACAAAAATGGTAATTACTTATGAGAGGTGATCGAATGTTAACCTAACTGTGGGAATCATTTTACAAAATGTGGGCATCAAATCATCACATTCTGCAGTTTAAACTTAGACAATCTTTGTCATTTGTGTGTCAATAAAGCTGGGAAAATAAACGTTTTTTTAAATCAGTAACATCAAGCGTTAGCCTGGGGGCACAGTAACAGGACCTTTTGTATTGTTAATTGTGGATGAAAAGATGACAGCCACTCTGGAAAGCAGTATGATGGTTTCTTAAAATAGTAACTATGCCCTTACCACCTGACCCAGCATCTCACCTCGAGATATTTATTCCAGAGAAATGAAAACTTACATTCACGCTAAAACCTGTACAGAAATATTTATGGCAGCATTATTCATAATTGGGGGAAAAAATGGAACAACTCAAATGTTCTTTAATGGGCAAATAGCTTGTGATACATCTACACAATGGAATACTACCCAGCAGTAAAAAGAAATTAACTTGATGAGTGACGAGGAACAGTATGGATGAATCTTAAATGCATTAGGCCGGGTGAACGAACTCAGTTTCGAAAAGTTAGATACTGTATGATTTAATATATATGACATTCTGGAAAAGGCAAATATGAAAATAGAGAATAGATCAGTGTTCGCCAGGGTTAGGGTTTGCAGAACAGTCTGAATACAAAGGGGGCAGCACGGGGGATTTTAGAATTGTTCTGGATCCTGTCTCTCACGGTTACAAGAACAGGTGCATGTGGTAAAAACCTCACAGACCTGTATAGCCAAAAGAAGTGCGTTTTACTGTGTGGAAAAATTTCATGAACGATTCAAAGGAGTATATCAAATATTAACATTGTTAGCTTCATATGATGAAACCATGGCTGAATTCTTTTGCTTTGTTCTGTATTTTCCAAAAGCTATTAAGAAAATTCACTACTTTTAGAATAGGCAAGTAAATGTAATTTGCAAATAAGTATCAGAATTTTCTAATGTATTGGTTTGACCACAAACACTATATTACTGGCACTTGATAATATCCAACACATGGCAAAAAGCAGATATTCTGGGTGATATTTCAAAAGATATCAGATCGTGATTCACCTTGCTTTCTGGATACAAATAAAAGACAAAACATTAACAAAACTTTGCTTTTATACAATTAAGGATTAGAAGAAAAGATAGGCTCATTTTACATATTTGGATACACCCTTGGTGAATATTTATTATTTCCCGTTCAACAATCAAATCTTTCTACTAGAGATCATATTGTTAGTGAAACATTCCATAAATGAACCTTGTTTGTACTTGGATTTATTTATTTATTTTTTTATTTGTTATTTTCAAATGTAGACATTAACCTACCAACGGGCGACTGTTCTATCTTTGGGTATTTTGTGGATCTACAGCAAGGTGAATTCATACCATGGTCAGAACTACTTCCTAATATTCAGACACTAATTCAAAGAGGTAAGAGTTATTATAGGAATAATACTCATATTTCTCTAAAATATTGGGACTGCTTCATATATAAAAGTGGTGATGTTAGCAGCTTTGAGGACTGATGTATTCCAAGTTTGTGCAGAAACCAGTTTAGATCTACAGGGTGGGGCAAAGTCCGAGTTTGCGTGTGGTGGGCTTAGGAATCTGTGGTGACTTCCAGCTCCAAGTATGAATGAAAGGAACAATTTCCGAGAGATGAGCAGAGACCCTCGGGCACTTGCAACAACTTTGGTTTATTTGTGTATGTTTAAATTGCTTTACAACGTACTGACTTTTCCAGAAAATATTTAGTACCTACCTAAAAGATGAAGTTAACATTTATTGATAGATTATGTGAAACTTTTTACTTTTTATTTTAACCTAGGAACTTCAATACTAAGTGATCCTGCGGGATCCAGTGCCAGCCTCTTGAAGATAACAGAATACGGGGAGAGCATTAATTTCACTGCTACCAGAGACACAACGTGTCTTTCTTTTCTCATAAGCCTTCTTTTAAAGAATTTCTGCCCTGTACTTCTTACAGGTATTAAAAATATCTAAAGAAGGAGAATTGCAGAGTTAGGAAGAGGCTTAGTAATTATTGTCTAACCATTTTATTTCGTAAGACAGAAAAAAAATGCCCTGAAAAGCTTTATATATCTCTGCCTACAGTGTATGAATGCACATTCCCCCATGTTCGCCAGTACAGGACAGCATAACTTTTTTCTTCTTTTTTTTCCCCCTTTACTGATTTTAGAGAGAGAGGAAGTGGGAGATAGAGAGAGATAGAAACATTGATGAGAGAGAACATCAGTTGGCCGCCTCCTGCATGCCCCCCACTGGGGATCAGGCCCACAACCTGGGCATGTGTCCTGACCGGGAATCGAACCAGCAACCTCTTGGTGCATGGGGCGATGCTTAACCACTGAGCCACCCTGGTCAGGCTAAGGAAATTTTTTTACTTCATATTTGGTGAATCATAGAGTCATGACTCCCTGTTCTGCCGCAATAAGGGGTTTATTCCAGTTTCCCCCAGATTGGGTTGGTAAAATTTTCAGGGAAATTGATTTCATGTAGTAGTTCTGTTGTGCTATCAGCAAAAATATTTGTGATAGGCATAAATGAACACTATAGAAAACTAATGGTTAACTCCTGATATATTCTTTTGTAAGAGATGTAAAGTATTTAAATACTTTGAGAGGGTTTCATATTAACTGCTTGGTTTACCCACACTTAGCCACAATTTTTTTAAAAGGGAAGAGCTAAAACATACTTTTCATGTAATTTTCAAATGAAAGAAAATCATATTGGTTCATTTTAATGTATTAGCATCTGCTCATTTTCTTGCATGTAAGTCTAACCTAATGTATCTTTTTCTCGCCCATTAGGAGACTTTGGTGTTGGGAAAACCAGTGTCATTAATCAAATGCTTGCCAAATTAGAGGGCTCAGGAGGCTTCGATGTGAAATATGGATCAATTTTAGGAGAAGTCCTATTATATAACGAAATTAAAAAGTCAAGGTAGTATATATTAAACTCTAAATTTGATTTGTCTGGTCAAAAAAAGTTTGTTTTAATATCTAACCATGCCTTATTTTTTAAAAAGAAAACCTATTCATAAAAATGCAGAAATATTCAAAAGACAAGTTAAGAAAAGTTTTAACTGGATTAATTCCGTTAAATAAATGAGAAATTCTTATATTGATTTTAGATATAACTGAATTTACATTTAAAATTTTTTTTTACCGAACGAAATACAGCTATAAACAGTTTTCCTTTTTGGTAAAATGGACCTAAACCATACAAAAGTGTTACATTTCACTGGTTTTGTTGCACTAGAAATATATCTCCTTCTTACCAAATAGTGTGTGTCTCTTCCTAAAGAAAAAATAGGAATGAAAAAGAAATCTAAATAATGCACATAGAAAGTGCAAAATGTGAAAGCTAATTCTAATTCTGTTAAAATACTAGAGAAGCCTGCTGCTGTGAGCACGTAGTAAAGATGAAGTGTGAAGAGGCCCACGCAGACTTTCTCCATCACCAGACTCAGATCCATGGCCCATGTCACATACTCGCCGTGGCCCACCCCCCCTTCCGCTCTGTTCTGTCTTCACAGTTTCAATCCATTCAGTCTCTTTCCAATGTCACCTTTAGTCCAAGGCACCGGCATCAACATCTTACACCAACTATTTTGCAATGGAATCTTCCTACACTTAAATAAGGCCTTAAAAATCAGAGAAATTGCCCTGGCCAGTTTGGCTCAGCGGTTGGAGCGTTGGCCTGCGGTCCAGAGAGACCCGGGTTCGGTTCCCGCTAAGGGCATGTACCTCGGTTGCAGTTTGTCCCCGGCCCTGGTTGGTCATGCGGGTGGCAGCCACTCGATGTGTCCCTTTCACATCGATGTTTCTCTCTCTCTTCCTCTCTCTCCCTCCCACTCTATCTGTACAAAAAATGGAAAAATGTCCTCAGGTGAGGATAAAAAAAAAAAATCAGAGAAATCATTTTTGAAACATTCGATATAATAAGAGTCATTCCTTCTCTAAATCAGTGTAATAATAAATAATGGAGTCTGAAAAAAATAAATTTTACTGTATGTTCAATATTTAAACTGAAGTGGATTTTAACAGTAAAGGAAAATAAAGGCATAGGTAACATATTTTAAAATTAGAAACAGTTCAACTTTGGCTGGTTAGCTCAGTTGGTGAGAGCATCGTCCTGATAATGTTAAGATTTGGGGTTCAGTCCCCACTCAGGGCACATGCAAGAATCAACCAGTGAATGCATGGATGAGTGGAAAAACAAATCTGGTTCTCAAAAACCAAACAAAACAAAAAAACACAGGCTTAACAGCCCAATTTAAACAGAACACAAAGCTCTATTATTTCAAATCCAGAGCAAGAGATGAAAACTTGGTTTTATTTTATTTTTTTATCATAGGTAAATTAGGTTGTGTTTTGCATGGCCAGACCTCAGCGAGATTGTGGGTCGGCACCAGAGCACCACAGTCAAGTAATCTGGTGGTGGAGGGTCTTGCCTTCGATTTGTGAAATATCTGAAGTGCAATAAAGCGAAACACAATAAAAATTATTTTAAAAAAAGAAAAATAATGTAAGGGAAGATAAAACACCTGAAGCCAAAGCGAAAATCAAGATGTGGTGGGCCTTTTGTTGAATGACCCCTAAGGCAAATGCATTTTAGAAAGAGGCGTATGAGTTCATGGCTTACTTTCTAAAGAAAATACCCAGTAGCCTGGCATCCTAGGAATTTTCCCAGTTTGTTTTTTAGAGTAAGAACATATTTTGTTAAATTTGGGTGTCAATTCTCATGGTGACACTAATTTTATCTGTAAAAGTGTGAACAGGAAAGGAATATTTGTATTTGATGGAGATAGAAGTAGAACCAACCACACACTGATACTTTCATTTTATTTTGTTCGGCTACTAAGGTAAATGAGCTAATTTTGAATCCTTAAAATGTTTTATGCCAATAGCCTGGGACAGAATATCAGCATCTTGCTTTCTGAAACTCAGAAGACGGCAGCTGAAAGTCAAGGTATGTATTTACAGTAGCTTCAAAACCTTGTCTTCCAGTGATATGCAAGTCACTCCGTGCTATCAGAAATCTCAGAATGCAAGGTTCAATTAATAGTTTAAAATAAAGCATCTGGAAAAATATCCACTACCCCCTCCAACTGTTCCCCCCTCCTCAGAAGCTGGATGGTTCTCGGAGAGGAGCGTTGTATCTGCTGAGCAGGACAGCCGCTCTCGCTTACAGCGGAACCTCAGACTAGGCCTGCGAGGAACCAAAGGCAGTATCTGTCTGTTCTGTTGGTTAACGCTTTCAGAAATAATGCAACACGAAAGTTATGATTCTATCATTCTCAAATTGGACTACACTATAGAAATGCACATGGAGCTTCAAGAACCTCATCCTTGAAAATTCTGACTTTGTCGTCTGGGCGCAGCAACCCCTCTGCTGAAGAGGAACAGATGGGGTGGCCCAGACGTCTGCAGAAAGGGAGGAGGGGTCTGGCCGCAAGGTTCCGCCAGAGGAGGCTGCTGGTTGGGGTTTCTTCTTTCGCTTTTGTTACAGCACCACCCCAGCAACCCTTCTGGGTGACCCCCACTCAGAGAACGTGTCCTAATTCCGATGCCTCTGCTGGACCCACCAAGTGCTGCCTTTAGATCGTACATGTGTAATTCCATTATATAGTATACTGCAAATCTGAATATTTAATTTAATTAATTTATTTCATCCTCACCCAAGGACACTTCTCCATTTTTGTTCAGATAGAGCAAGAGGGAGAGAGAGGGAGCAAGAGAAACATCGACGTGTAAGGGACACATCCAGTGGCTGCCTCCCGCACAACCCCAACCAGAGCCGGGGATGAATCACAACCGAGGTATTCGCCCCTTGACCGGAATCGAACCCATGACTCATTGATCCGCGGGCCAACACTCTAACCGCAGAGCCAAACCGGCAAGGGCCAAATCTAAATATTTTAAAGCTTCAAAAGTTACATGTGTCTATTGTGCAGAGATGAATAGAGGTTCGCTGAGCTTTTATACGGTTGCATTTAGCTGTGGTTGCAAAGAGACACTTTTCCACATAAAAATAAGGAAATATTTGGAAACATTTCAGAGTTAGCATTCCTTCTCTCTCTGATTTGTCCTCAGAGTAACTTCTTTAAAATGACAACAGTATAGTAAAATTATGTAATTTTTATATTGCTTAACACCTTAAAAGAAAGCAAAAATATGTTGTAAGTGTTCTAACTTTGTTTTTCTTTCCACATTTGGCATCATAGATAAGATTACTAAAAAGTCATCAAGAAGTAAAAGTTCATTGGAAAATGAGGAGAAAGGAGTTACAGTCTCTTCAATAAATTTCGGCATCAAACTGACAGCTGCTAGAACCAAGGAGATGATCCTTAAGAAGTTAAAAAGAAGAACTAAAGACATTCTTGGGGCCCCAAAAAGCAACAGGGTAAAACGCCTCCCAGACATGTTGATTAAGCTGCTTATACCACTCAAGTGATAAAGTGACTCATTTTAACTACTATGCAAACAGAGCAACATAAGTGTAACATACATTCCTGAGTATTTCTATAAAATGCACTTTTAAATGGAAATTTAGGTTTTCAAATCAGTATAATTCACTTTCCAACATGATCAATTATAGTGATTCAGAATTACTAAAGTCAAAGAAGCTCCTGGAATCTGAATTAAATACAAGCAGATAAGAAAACTGGAAAATTAGTTAGATGCCAGTTGTTTTGTTACTGTACATCTTACCACATCTTTCTCCTGAGACTATGGCTGGGGACTGTAAGACAAGAGAAACTTATGGTATCCACAGCCTCAGGGAAAGGTATCAAGAGAACAGTCTTCTGGCTCACTGCTGGTGAATGCAGACTGGTGCAGCCACTATGGAAAGCAATACAGTGTTTCCTCAAAAAGTTAAAAATGGGACTTCCATTTGCCCCAGTGATCCCACTTCTAGGAATATACCCTAAGAAGCCTGAAACACCAATCAAAGAATATATGCACCCCGATGTTCATAGCAGCATTATTTACAATAGCTAAGATCTGGAAACAGCCCAAGTGTCCATCAGTAGACGAGTGGATAAAAAAGCTGTGGTACGTTTACACAATGGAGTACTATACAGCTATAAGAAAGAGAGATCTCTTACCCTTTGAGATGACATGGAGGCACCTGGAGAGTATTATGCTAAGCAAAATAAGCCAGTCAGAGAAAGACAAGTGTCACATGATCTCACTTATCTGTGGAATCTAGTGAACAAATTAAACTGATGAACAAAATAGACCCAGAGACATGGAAGTAGGGAACAGACTGAGGAACCTCAGAGGGAATGGGTATTGGGGGGCAGGAAGAGATAAACCAAAGAACTCATGTGCATATGTGCACGACCAGTGAACACAGACAACAGTGCCATGAAGGCGGTGGGGGTGGGAGAAGTGGGGAGCAGGGGTCAGTGGGGGAAGAGGAGGGACATCTGTAATACTTCCAACAACAAAGACGTATTTTTTTAAAAGAATGGTCTTATATAATTTGGACAACTCCTACTTATTAAAAAATTATTTACATATATATATATATATACATAATTTTTATTCTATTGTTCATAGTATTACAGATGTCCCCTAGCCCCCCCCCCTCCTTTAACCGCCCTCCTCCCAGCTCCTCCCCCACCCCAGGCCTTCACCATACTATTGTCTGTGTCCATTGGTTATACATATATGTATATCAGTTCTTTGGTTAATCTCTTGTTCCCCACCACCATGCCTCTGGACCTGTTTTGTTTTTTACTTTATATGCTCATTAGATTCCACATATAAGTGAGATCATGTGATATTTCTTTGACTGGCTTATTTTGCTCGGCATAATACTCTATAGGACTCTCCTTGCTATTGCAAAGGGTGAGAATTTTTTTACAGCTGCCTAGTATTCCACTGTGTAAATATCCCACAGGTTTTTTTTGAAATGGTGTTGAGCATTCTTATTCTTACCCTGTCTGCCTGGCACGTTATTAACTGTCCAGCTGTTAAACCAAACACTCCGTCACAGTTGAAGTCCCGTGAGCCCAAGTTCAGTGCCATCAAATACGCTGAGTCAAGAGACTTGCAGGGGTCATTAACAAGAAACATACCTGTGGTCCTTGGGACACCTGAGTTTAACCCCTGTGGCTGTCAATTTGAAAGCTTTTAAGGATTTGCTTCAGATTTCCTTGATTTTAAGTGAAGATTTGGATGAATTTGATGGGATTTTGCCTAATTGGGTACCTTTTGGAGACTTCGAAAAGGAGAATAACTGCTCAACCAAGTCACACAGATGAATAAAATGCAAGAAAAAGAAATTTTGGTCAAACCAGTTTGTCTATAATTATTCAGTTTGTGATACAAAACAAGGGAAATTGTCATACTAAAATAATGGTATTGATAATTACAAGTCAGGTAGTTAAGTAATTCAAAATAAATGACTATTTGTATTTTCTAATTTTTTTACTTGTTTTACAAAAATAAGTATAATCTAAGGGGTCTAATGTACACATAGATTCTTTAATCCTCACCCGAGGACATTTTTTTCGATATTTTGTTCAGATAGAGTGGGAGGAAGAGAGAGAGAGAGAAACATCGACGTGAAAGCGACACATCGAGTGGTTGCCACCCACACAACCCAACCAGAGCCGGGGACAAACTGCAACCGAGGTACGTGCCCTTAGCGGGAACCGAACCCGGGTCTCTCCGGACCGCAGGTCGACGCTCTAACCGCTGAGCCAAACCGGCCAGGGCTACACATAGATTCTAATCGGTACACTCCAGTGCATAATATTTTCAAAGGCGGAAAGTAACACAGGTTTAAAAATTGGAAATGTGTCTGAATCTTCTGCTGGCTGTTCATGACAACAGCATTTGCAGCAGAATTGTAAAAGTCTAGTTCCACGTGACAGTCTTATTCCTAAACCAGGATACACATGAAATAAATCTCTCCATGCCTTGCCAGGGAGTCAGTGTTGAATGAATAACAGTCACATTTGTTTTTTTATAGTAGCCGCAATTAGATTACTTCATCCAGCATCAAATATATTTATAACTATTACTGTTGTAGGTCTATAGAGAGCGAGTAGAGTTTCTTCTATTTTGAAAACTTATTATTTTCTAAAGTCATATTAAAATAGAACTTGGGCTGCTGCTGCTTAAGAGAAAAAAAACCATCATTACATATAATTTTGTTCTTATACCATAGCATAATTTATATTCCAATTCATAATTTAAAGAAAGGTAGTACTGATTCATAAATTTTAAAACCTTTGTCTTCCTTAAGATTGTAATATTCATTGATGATCTGAATATGCCAGAAACAGATATGTATGGAGCTCAGCCGCCCCTGGAATTAATCAGACAACTCTTAGATTTGGGAGGAATTTATGATACTGAAAAAATTGCATGGAAGGTAAAGTTCATGTTTTGTATTGTTACTTAACAATAAATAAAATAGTTATAACAGTGTTGAGTGAATTCAGTGAGAAATTGAGCAAGTCTAGTGAAATACACATGTAGAGCAAAAAATTTGACCATGCCAATTATGTCTTGGCAATTTAGCACAAGTCCATGGGTTCATAGAAATTCAACTTTAAGTAGGATTAAATCTTAGTAACAATTGCCAGTATGTCCTCTAGGTTGAGTTTCCAAGTCAAATAATACTCACATTGTTGGGCACATTAAGTAATCGAAGTTTTCAGTGCATCAGCAGTTAATGCATTTGAGAAAAGCTAATCCCTATGTAAGACTACTCTCATGTTTATTTTCAAGAACACAGATCAAGGATTTTCAGAAGTATTGCAAAGTCAAAAAAGATCCCAGGGAGAAATTTCTGTGAAGTTATTTTTTGTTACTTTTAACCAAAGTCAGAACGGCATAAATTTTTTTTTTTTAACTAAATGCACTTTTTTCCTTATTTGGCTCCTTCTCTGGAAACATGAGCCCTGTGTTCCAGAACTGACTTTGTGACCTAAACATTCTGGGTCTCAGTTCCTCATCTGTAGTAGAATTAGGTGATTGTGTTACAAAGTTGCACATCTCAGACAGGGCCCAGGACCCTGGATGATGCACACTGGCTGGGGAGTGACATCCGCTCTGCCGCCAGTCAGACTGCGGTCCAGGCACCAACCCAAGACAAGACTCTAGATGCCGCCCACCCAGGGGAAATCCAGGAGACTAGGAGAAAAGAGAAAGCAAGAAATGGTCTGCAATGCACCACCTGAAGATGTTCCTTGAACTGACAAGACAAAGTGGGGCAGGCTTCTCATGAGATTCTGTGGCCATGGGCAGGGACGAAGCTGTTAAAAGCACCCCCGTTTGCATAGAGTAGTATCCGTGGTTGCAGCCAGCTCTCCAGCGCTGTGAAGTTGTGATATGTCAAACGGCTATTACTTTGTGAACAGCCCAGCATCTCACCCCAGGCCAGTCGGGCTTTTCTGGGGGCACAATCACCAGGCTCTTTCCCTGATTTCTCGGATCACCGGGACCCTCTCTGCTAGCCTTGGGGACAGGCTGCTATTTTCCAGTGATTGCTCTTTTAAAAATAAGCTATTTCCTGATGACATGTAACATGCCTTGAAATTACATTTTAGGGTGGGCTACTTCTAAAAGGATCGACTCTGTGACCATCATCATTTTTGTTTGCAGTAAATAATGTTTGCTTAAACATTTTAACTCTCTTGTTTGTTTAGGGGAGGAAACATTTTACTTTGTAGATACATTGTTACTCTTTGTTTTCACTTTTTCCACAGGTTATTCAAGATCTGTCTGTAGTGGCAGCTTGTGTTCCTTCCACTGGTAGGAGGGAAATTAGCCCACGTCTCCTCAAACACTTCTCCATTCTGGTATTGCCTCATCCTCCTCAAAGTGCCCTGCGAACTATTTTCCAGGTGATGCATCTAGCTCATTTTCTACTGGGGAAAAAGAAAAGTAAATTCCATACTGTTAGGGAAAATGTGAGAACTTCAAATCACTAATAGTAAACAAACATTATCTTAAGGGGAAACATTTTATTTCTCCATCTATATTTTCTGGCCTATTATTATAATTTGTCTCTAAATATTAAAAACATAATTTAGTGTGTATGAGAAACACATTGGTGCATGTCTACTGAATGTTTAAAATGTAGATTCCTCCCTGGCCGGTTTGGCTCAGCGGTTGGAGCGTCGGCCTGCGGTCCTGAGAGACCCGGGTTCGGTTCCCACTAAGGGCGCGTACCTCGGTTGCAGTTTATCCCCGGCCCTGGTCGGTTGTGCGGGTGGCAGCCACTCGATGTATCCCTTTCACGTCGATGTTTCTCTCTCTCTCTCTCTCTCTCTCTCTCTCTCTCTCTCTCTGTTCCTCTCTCTCCCTCCCACTCTACCTGAACAAAAAATGGGAAAGTGTCCTCGGGTGAGGATAAAAAAATAATAATAATAAAATAAAATGTAGATTCCAAGATTTTATTCTCAGAAATTCGGACTCATTGTGTCTGGGATGGAGCTCAGGATCGGCATTAACAAGCACACCCGATTTTTGTTAGTATCGATTTATTATTTTCTTATAGGATCAAAAGTAGTGAGAGAAAAAAATTCTGAAATATGAGAAAAATGGCTTAGCAGTTAAAATCTAGTTTGATTAGATAAATAATTCTTCAAAACTAATTATCTGCTTTTCTTTTTTCTAATATAAAATGTAAAGATTAATTTGTAAGATCCATTTTTTGAAAAGTACTTGGTAATTCTTCAGGTGATCAATAATCCACACCTCAAAAAAATCCTGATATAGAAGAGTATACACATATACCAATACAAATTGAAATGAGAGTTCTATCATTTTATATTTTTTCTAGTGACATTTGCTAGGAAACAGGAATATGGAAGAATTCCCAGCACACCTGGTGTACACACAGGTGGGGCATAAATTGTCCTCCGAGAACAAACACACGCCTGCCATTTGTTTAAAGCAGATTATAATCACTAACATTTTAAATGAAATTATTCTTCCATTATAATACATATACTTCCTTTTTTACTAGGAATTAGCTAGAAATTGTGCTTAAATATTTTGGCAAACTGAATTCTTAAATTTCTTTTTAAAGGCTCATTTGGGAATGTATTTCTCCATCCATAACTTCACAGCCGATGTTCAGAAAAGTAAGGATCAAATAATATCTTGCTCTCTGGCTATCTACTATCACATATGTCAGAATATGTTACCCACGCCCACGAAATGTCACTACATGTTTAATCTTCGAGACATGTTTAAGGTTTGTTTCAAAATTCATTCTCTAGCTTACTTTTAACATTTAAGATGAGGAAATGTAATTTCACTGATGTGACACACTCTTCATTTTCCTGACTCATTGATACTGTCAATATTAAATTACTAAAAGGGAAATTCAAATTGATTAGCTTTGCTGTTTCTTAGCAGCTTATGCCATGAGCCAGTTAAAAAGATTCATTAAAATAATTCCATGCAGAGAGTTCAATGATAAAACCACTTGAGACAGAGGATTGGCGCTAAAACTCTCAGCAAGGAAAGAAGTGACAAGGTTATAACAGATTTCGGTTTTGCTTCATTTCGGAGACTTTATTGCGACTTTTAGAAAACGGAAGCCTGCATGCATTTCAGAACTGTGCTGGAAGTTTTACAAGGCTTGCGTTTTACACCAGGGGGTGTTGCCGAAGGGGCTGATTTTGTCACCAGTTTTGATCAAATGCGTAATTTTCAGAATTAAAATGTTAACAAGAAAAACAATGTTTGAGTTTGCTCTTTCTCCCCTTGCTATGGATTTCAGTCCCAAATAGCACATAGTATTTGAAATGGGTTATAAAGGTTTTTGAAATCCAATTTCAGACCCTCAGAACACAACATAACATTAGAAGTACCTCTGGATCACCACCAACCCCCTTCCTCCACGTGGGTGCCAAGGCACAGACTCATCTCCACTGGACGAGGCTGGGGAGGCCTCAACCCATCTCCCTGTCATGGTGATGCTCCGCCGGTTTTCTCTGATTTATGCCTTGCCTGACTCATCAAAAAAGTCCAGATTATGACTTGTAGAAATTGACCATTCTTACCTTGGATAACTGCTTCTATTTGTATGGAAACATAAACCTGCAAAACTTGAGCTTTTATTCATATACTTCCAACTAATGTTTTTTAAAAATATAATTTTTAATTCCCTGTTAGCTTCTCCTAGGACTGCTGCAAGCTGACAAGGCTGTTATTAACTCCACGGCAATGGCTGCTCTGTTCTTCATTCATGAAGCCACCCGAGTGTTTCATGATCGCTTAATTGAACATACTGAGAAAAAGCTGTTCTACCAGTTTCTTTCAAAGGAACTTGAGAATTATTTTCAGGTAAACTTATATTGTAAACATTATTGTAAATGGTGTCTTAGGCAAAAATGTTTGATTAAAGTATGCAGACGTTTCTATAATATTAATGAAAGAAATGTAAATTCTGTTTTCACTAGAAAATGTCTATAAATTTGATATGATGGAAATGATAAGGTCTTGATGCCTTTGCTCATGTGTTTGGCCTCTTTGGAACCTCAAAACTGCTCATTTTCCTCTCGGACTAGCAGAAGTGAATACTCTCTTGATACCTCAATAAGATCCTCATCCTCTCTAGCCCCTTGAACTGTAGTTCTCATGGTGCCTCTGTAGTCCAGGTCACAGAAGAAAGTGTTTCAGTCAATTGATTTGCACTAAAAGAATTGTAACTCTTTGTTTTGTTGGAAGTTTCCTTTGCTGTGTAGAAGCTTTTTAGTTTGATGTAGTCCCATTTCTTTATTTTTGCTTTTGTTCCTTTTGCTCAAGGGGACATCTCCAAAAAGATATTACTCTGATGTCAGTTAGTTAACTTCCTATGTTTTCTTCTAGGAGTGTTAGGGCTTCAGACCTTACATTTAAGTCTTTAACCAGTTTTTAGTTTCTTCTTGTATATGCTGTGAGAGTAATTGGAATAACAAAGAGACTGTCATTACTCCAGTGTATATTTTTACCTTCTTTGTCATAATTTAGTTGACCACATAAGTGAGGGTTTATTTCTGGGCTCTTTATTCTGTTCCATTGACCTGTGTGTCCGTTTTTGTGACAGTACCATGCTGTTTTGATTATTGTAGCTTTGTAGTATAGTATATCAGGGAGTATGATGCCATGTAGGAAACCATCAACAAAATATAAAGGCAACCTACTGAATAGGAAGAATATATTCTCAAATTATATATCTGATAAAGGGGTGCCATCCAAAATGTATAAGAAACTCATACAACTCAATAACAAAAAATAAACAGTCTGATAAAAAAAGGGGGGGCAGGGACATGAAAAGACATTTCTCCAAAGAAGACATACAGATGGTCAACAGACATATGAAAAGATACTCAACATCGCTAAATATTAAGGAAATTCAAACCAAACCACAATGAACTACCACCTCACACCTATCAGAAAGGCTATTGTCAGAAATTCAACAAATAGCCCTGGCCATTTTGGCTCAGCTGTTAGAGTGTCAGCCCGCAGACCAAAGAGTCGCGGGTTTGATTCTGGCCAAGGGCACATACCTCAGTTGCAGTTCGTCCCTGGCCCTGGTTGGGATCGTGCGGGAGGCAACCAGTCAGTGTGTCTCTCTCACGTTGATGTGGCTCTCCCCACCCTCACTCTATTTGAAGACATTTGGAAAAATATCCTTGGGTGAGGATTTTTTTAAAAAGTCAACAAATAACATGTATTGGCTAGGATGTGGAGAAAAGAGAACCCTTGTACATTGGTGGTAGGACTGCAAACTGGTGTGGCTCCTGTGGAAAACAGTATTCCTAAAATAAATAGATTACCATATGATCCAGAAATTCCACTTCTGGGTATTTATCCAGAGACAGTGAAAACATAATTAGAAAAGATATATGTGCCTATATGTTTACTGCAGTATTATTTACAGTAGCCAAGATATGGAAGCAACGTAGGCGTCCATCAATAGATTAATGGATAAAGAAGATGGTATATATACAATGGAATATTATGCAGCAATAAAAAAGAATGAAATCTTGCCATATATGATTATATGGATAAATCTAGAGGCTATTATGCTAAGTGGAGTAAGTCAGGTGGAGAAAGACAAATACCATATGGTTTCACTTACATGTGGAATCTAAAAAAAACAAAACAAAACAAAAACAGGCTCATAGAAACAGAGACCAAAGGATGGTTACCAGAAGGGAGGGGGTAGGGGATGAATGAAAGGGGAAAGGATTTAGAAGTACAAATTGGTACTTACAGAATAGTCACAGGGATGTAAAGTACAGCATAGGGAATATAGCAAATAATATTGTAATAACTATAGTATCAGATGGGCATTAGATTTATCAGGGTGATCACTTCATAAGTAATATAGATTAATAATCATCAGGTTGTACACCTGAAACTAATATAATATTATATACAGAACATCAACTGTAATTTTAAAGTTGAAAGAAAAATTTTGCCCTGGCCAGTTTTGCTCAGTGGTTAGAGCGTCAGCCTGTGGACCAAAGAGTCACGGGCTTGATTCTGGTCAAGGGCATGTGCCTTGGTTCCAGTTCATCCCTGGTCAGGGTCGTGCAGGAGGTAACCAATCAATGTGTCTCTCACATTGATATTTCTCTCCCTCTCCCTCTCCCTCCCACTCCTGTCTGAAGATACATGACAGAATATCCTCAGGTGAGGATTTAAAAAAAAAATCTCAAAAATAGTAAAGTAAGGGTAGTAAATTGTACCTACTTCATAGGACTGTGGTGAGAATTAATGACACTAATTTGTATAAAGTGTTTAGAACAGTTTCTGATACATAGTAAGTGCTCAATAACTGTAAGCTATTATAATAACATAAAGAAATAGACCATATATCTACATTTCAAATATAGACAGGTGGTTTGGCAGAAAGAGCCTGAACTCTAGAGTTAGACCTTGGTTTGACCTCTAAAACTTTCCCATGTTACTCTCAGTACCTGATATGCAACAAGCAACACCTTTTGCAAAACCATTCCCAGTCTTCATACTCTATGCTCTCTCCACCACCCAGATGCCCTGCCCTGGTGTTCCCTACCTCAATGACCGGCGTTACCACCCAAGGCCCTGTTCATATCAGAGACAGAGATCTAAGCATATCACCTTCATATTCAAGCCAAAATGCAGCATGGTCTCTCTTGCTCCTCCTCTAATACCCGTATCTCATCTTCCTTAAGGATGATAGGCATCCTTCAAGATTCAGCTCATGCTTCTTTCCTCTTGGTGGCCTTTTCTGACCAAAATCACACCATTTTCAGGGAAAGTGTCCCTTCTTTGTATTCTCATAGAACTGTGTGTGGACTTTTCCTATCATAAAACTTATTATAATGTAATTTTCCCCTCCCATAGTCATTCATTCTCATTCTCTCTCTCTCTCTCTCTCTCTCTCTCTCTCTCTCTCTGAGTTTCATGAGAACAAAGTCATTGATTTTTATCCCTACCTATATTCTCCAGAATTTAACATCCTTCCTTACTTCCAATTGGTGCTTGATAAATATATCTGGGATGAATGAATGAATAAAGGGATAAACGAAAGGATGTAGAGACTGTGCTAAAATAACTAAAGATGGCTTATTCCTGTCCAGGAGAAGTTTCTGAAGTTTCTGAAGTCCCTGTAAGTGATCATTTGCAATTCAGCTTTAAGACTTTGCTAAACCATGTTCAGCCAGAGTGGCTCAGTGGTTGAGTGTTGACCCATGCATCAAGAGGTCACCGGTTCAATTCCCAGTCAGGACACATGCCCAGGTTGCGGGCCCGATCCCCAGTAGGGGGCATGCAGGAGGCAGCCAGTTGATGTTCTCTCTCATCGATGTTTCTGCCTCTCTCCCCCTCTCATTCCTCTCTCTCTAAAATCAGTAAAGGAAAAAAATAAAATAAAATGTACATGCCTTTAAAAAAAGAAAAGAAAATCCATTAAAAAAATTTTTTTAAAGACTTTGCTAAACCAAAGAATAGATGTGGAAGCAGAAGTAGAAGATGAGCACGCAAGTACTTATGGGAGCAGGGCTTGTCCTAGCAGGAGTCAGCACCATGGACAGCAAGAGCAGCTACAGTATCCCAGATTAAGACATATTAACTAAATTTTCTTTAATCACATTAGGATGTAATTACTCCTGTGAGGATGTGGGTTTATACAATATCATTTAATAACTTGGTTCGCTGGTTTAGTTAAAAAAATAAAATGTGATAACTCTAATTATAATTAACACTTACAATAGGCCAGGCATTTAAAAGCTTTACGTATTATTAGTCATTTTAATCTCCATAACAGCCCTGCGATATAGGTGCTGTTATTATCCTCATTTTACAGATGAAGAAACTGAGGCAGAGTGAAGTTAAGAACTTTCCCAAGGTTACACAGCTAGTTAAGTGATAGACTCATTGTTCGAACCTAGGATATCTGACTCCAGATATTCTCTTAACCATCATGTCCTGCTGCCCCTCAACCTTCCTTTAGCTACTTGCTAAACAAATGTCTTCTGAGTGCCTGTTAGGAATTTCCAGTGCCAGACACCAAGTGAGGTAAGTGCTGAGACCTACATGGATGGGATCAGTGTGGGTCCTGCCTCCAAACACCTTGCACCTAACAGGTGTGATACATTTCTGTAAGTGATGTGAAAGATGTGACAGACCGGTGCGCATGCCACAGTGGTGGAACAAAGGAAGAAAAACTGATTTTCTTGCCCTGGCTGGTTTTCTCAGTAGTTAGAGCGTCAGCCCACAGACCAAAGAGTCACAGGTTCGATTCCAGTCAAGGGTTGGGGTCCAGTCCCTGGCCCTGGTTGGGGTTGTGCGAGAGGCAACCAGTCAATATGTCTTTCTCACATCTATGTTTCTTTCTCTCTCTCTCTCTCTCTCTCTCTCTCTCCCTCCCTCCCTCCCTTCCACCCTCCCTCCCTCCCTCCCTCCCTCCTTCCCTCCTGCCCCTTCTCCCCCTCCCCCCTTCTCTCCCTTTCTCCCTCCTTCATTCCTCCCTCCCACTCTATCTGCAGATAAATGGAAAAATATCCTTGGGTGAGGATTAAAAAAAGAAAAGAAAAACTGGTTTTCTCTACCTGGTTTTAGGGGAGAGGGGAACAGTCAGACTTCAAAGAGGACATAGCTCATGACCCTGGTATGAAAGATAGGCAAGAATCACCGAGTGGGCCAAGAAAGCAAATGTGGATTCTTGTAGATCTGTAGTGGTAATTAACAATTAAAGGAAGATTTTTTTTCAGATTGTTGGTGAGACCTCAAAATGTTATTTCCACAAAAGGGGTTCTTAATGTGAGACCCATGGACTCTCAAAGAGCCCTTAGATAAAACTGTATTTCAGC